GCATAGATGCAGCCGCCCCTTAGTTAGCAGTATTTCTAGAATATCCATTTTGTGCTGTAATGCAAATAAAATCACCGCTGGAAAAGATAGCTGCACTAATTTTGAATGTTCAGCTACTTCTGCAAAGACATTTACGCTCAAACACCCAAATTTGTTTAAGAGTTATGACAAGCCCTCAAGGCACCACAGTGGACTATTTTTAAATACTGTTAGCCCTGTTAAAGTCTGACAATCTACTCATGCAGTCTGCCTATCAATCAAGGAGAATGTAAAAAGTGGATAGTTTATGTATGAATGCATGTGTGTGCCACAAGCCTTTTTCAGACATACACACTTGATATTCATCATTCACATGGATTAGACAATGTGATGTATAATGCAATACCAGCATTATGCATACCAGCAACTTAAATGTCCAAATAACTAATACCCTTGTTTATTTCTGATTTCCCAACCACTGAAAATTCACTCCATGTGTGATGAGAATCGGAGTACTCCTTTACAAACAATAAAATAACAGTATTGCCTGATGTTAGAGCCTTATCAATCCTCTCTCCATGTCAGAGAAGATGTATAACTAATTAATGAAGGAAAGACTCTCTCTGTGATGTTTTTAGAAGAATTTTGGTGAAGAAATCTGAAAATCAATCACTTCACGCAGCTCAGAGTACCAGTGAATGTTTGTTTCGTTAATGTAATGGTGCAGTTCAGACTTGTGCTGTGTTAAAAGTGATATAGAAACGTTACTAGATGGACTTAATAAGATCGCTGTTGTTATTTTTACAGAAAAGTGAGCAGGGTCTTCTTACAGACATAAAGTCTACACATTTAATTGCTAACAGGAAGGAGTGCATGTCTAAAGCCCATTTCAGGCGTGGGCTACAGAACATTGCTTGCTTCACCAATCTGTTAAAGTGTAGACATTCTAGTTATTCAGACATACTGTAGGTCACTTTTCTATTAATGTTCCTCACAGTCTCATGCAGACATACCCCTCAGTGTGTCAGAAAGAGAGCTGTGGTACACCAAGTGATTCTAAAAGCAGCTGATCAGTGTTCACATAACCAACAGCCTACTTTAGTTCTACTTTCTTAAACAGTGAAGCTGAAAGGCCAGAACTCAGACTACGTGACGCGATGTGAGAAAATATTTAACTGCCGCAAATAAACTGCCTGTGTTTGTGACAGCTCACCTGTCTGAGGTGAACAGTGTGAGTTGCTGTTAGATCCTGATCTATCCTGTCTCCACGTCAGGGATGATTTATACCGAAAACTAATTAGGTTACTGCTCTGGCTCCATGCAATATGATGAGCAGCTGTCTCTCTATAAAATGCACCCAGGGATCCTACTCTGTCTGAGGCTGCAGGTATTTAAAAAATAACTCATAGGAAATAGTCCTCAACAGACAGACGCAACAAACTTCACCTCCCATTAACATTTTGTGAGGGTGGGACACATATTAAACTCACTAATGTGAATATCATTATTATTCTAAGCTGTTACTGTCTGTTTTAATGTTTTTTTCTTATTATTGTTATTATGGACATTGGATTTTGTTGCCTAATAGATTTGAAATTACAGCAAAGTAAGTGAGAAATGTGTGTCTTGATTTTGGTACATCAAGTGTTGAGCGTTTTGATGTTTCTGGACAAATATTGACGCTGAAACATCTAAAATCCCTTCCTTAAATCACTTCACACAAGGCAAGGTACATTTGCTTGCATATGTTTATCTGTTAACGGAGAGTGCAGTTCAGACTTCGACTGTGTTGAACATGTTACTGGTCAGATTACCGTGCAGGGTGCACGTACAGGTGTTCTTTCGCCTTCAGCCACCGTTGAGGGCTGACAGCCACCCTTTCTTCGAGTGAATGCGTAGTGCGCAGACTCCAGCAGACGGCGCTGATTGGTCAGAGGTAGAGTCGCTGCTGTGGAAGTTGATCGTATTCAACAGTGTGAAGTGAAGTGACGTGGAGTGTTACGGACACGGCGGCTAAAACTTCCTAAACTATGAGAAGAGTTGTTACCACATCCTGAGATAAGTCACGCCAGCGGTCGTAACATCGATTGCCTCACAGTTTCACGTTCAACCTTTGTAGAAACAAGTTTTTTTTCCCCACCACGAATCAACAACACGGCGCTTACCAGGCTAGCCAATTAGCTGGCTAACAGGAACAGCCTCTGCTGTGACGGTAGCTATGTAAAGTCTGCGTTGTGCGAGTCAAATATTGTTTCATCACCTGAGCCGAACCATGAGAAGGACTAAGGAGGACTTTAGCGACCGTCGTTGACGTACAATTTACAGAAAACGCAGCAGTTAGCGTGCTAACATTAGCCCGTCCGCGGAGCAGGGGAATATCAGAGGCAACTGTCAAGATGAGCTCTCTGCTGCGAGGTGAAGAGATGTGTCTGGCCCAGCTGTTCCTGCAGTCCGGCTCTGCGTACGACTGCATCAGTGAACTCGGAGAACTGGGGCTGGTGGAGTTCAGAGACGTAAGTCCCAAGGTCTCCCAAAACACAGCAATGTTTCACTTTGAAAGTTATCGCCAAGTTTGCTGACATCGGAAGTATTGAACAAAGTGCAGGAATTCAGCTCTACCGGTTTGTTCAGAGTCCATTAACTTATGTAACAATAATGACTGACTTTGACGTTCTATCAAAGCACAGGTGTCGGTTTTACTTTAACTTCGAAGAGGGAAGTCATCCTGCAGATCATAGCTGATGTAAAATCCTGCTGTGAAGTGTACTTATTGTAGGGTTTATAATACACTGAAACAACATTTAATCTCAGCATGCACATGATCTTCTTTCCCCTCTCAGACTAAAGTTAAAATCACATTTCTTGCCAATTGCTGACAAACATTTTTGAGCAGTTTAACTGGTGACAGCTTCTCAGCCATTGCGTTAGTCCACGCAGCAGTCAGGTGTGGCTTTATAGGACAGTGGTCAGATAGTGTAGCCGGTACACAGACACTCCTTTGTGCAGTGACGATAGAAGGCCGCCTTAAAATGCAGCTTTATTCAAATGACACAAAGCCACTGACGATAAAAGAAAGATGAAAATGGGCTCCTGGCGTGTCAGTTAAGGCTGCAGCCAGTTATTTGAATGTCTGCAACTTCACTGTCTAAGGAATCTTTTCAGTCAGCTCTCGATGGACGCGTGCAAAAGTATGATTCTGTTCATCCAAGTATCCACCAGCTTCACCAAGCTCTTCAGAAAAAAAACTTTTCTCAAGCAACATCCACAAGCTACCTAACTAGACAGATGTGTGGCACTATTCGATGCAAATGATGGACACACTCAGTACTTTAAGTCTGTCTATTATCACTTCTTAAATAGTGCGTACTTGTTTGGTTCATGATGTCCACTCTGTTGTACAGATACCGCCGTTTGACACAACAAATACTTATTCCTCTATTTTAAGAAGAATGGATAGAATTTAGTAAAGCTGCTGTGTTCATATTGTCATAGTTTAGATACTGGGGTGTTTCACACTCTGTCAACGACGCGGGAGTATGAGGGTTGTGTCATTGATTGCTTGACTGAATATGTCTCTTGCTCCTGTTTCAGCTCAATCCCAATGTTAACGCCTTCCAGCGGAAACACGTCAATGAGATTAAAAAATGTGAAGAGATGGAGAGGATCCTCGGTAAGGACATGTTGGTCTGTGTGATAGACTTTACCCATGTGGCTCCTTGTCTATTCAGAGTCAAGCTTTGCACTTCAAAAAATATTTTTTCTCCCACAACATTAAGACAGAGCTGTGATTGGACTGTAGAGGCAGAAGCAGGAATACACGAATCCACAGTAGATCTCCTCACTGAGCTGAATTGAGAGCCAGTGACCCTGCAGTCATGAGAAATGTCAGCTGGTTGTAGATTTGGTTGAATGAACTGCCGCCCTTGGTCAACTAAACCTTGTATTATTAGATTAAGAAAGGACCAACACATGGTCACATTAGACTTCCACTGCAGTGTGGTCTTGGTATTTGGGAACGTAAAGACAGATAAAAACGGTTTCTGTGATTTAGAAAAGGCTGTTCTTTGTTTTTAACAGGATACCTTCTGAGGGAAATCAAGAAAGCAGACATTTCACTGCCAGACAGAGATGTGAACCCAGTGGCTCCTTTACCCAAGCACGTCATTACTATCATGGTTAGTTACTCGCCTTTTGTTACTGTTGCTGTCTTATGTTACTTAGATGCAAACAGGTCATGGTATGATGGAAAGTGATGCGAATCGTAAGCTGTGATCTTCTCAGTCACCAGATCTCAACCCACTTGAGCACCTATAAGAGTTTTTGGCCCAACATGTTAGACAGTGTTTTTCGCCGCCTCCATCAAAACACCAGATGAGAGAATATCTTTAGGAAGAGCTGTGTAGCGTTCCAGAGACTTGGAGAATCAATATCCAGGCGCATTGAAGCCGTTCTTTATGTTGGTTCGTAACGTTCACCATGTGGGTTGCTTCACAGGAGCAGCTCCAGAGACTAGAGGTGGAGTTGGGTGAAGTCACCAGGAATAAAGAGAAGCTGCAGAAGAATCTGCTGGAGCTGACAGAGTACACACACATGCTGCGCATCACTCGCAGCTTCGTACAGAGAAGTGCTGAGGTTCGTGTGAACTCTCTACACTCACATTTTTTTTAATCTTGTTTATGCAGCAGCCTTTTCCCACAATATGGCAATTCATCTGCTGTTTAATTTGATTTTGATTCTCTTCCTACCCTCCGACATTTTGTGTTTACTTTTAGCGAGAGCACCTAGAAGCACAGTATGAGGAGTTTCCCTTCCTAGAAAAAGACACAATGATGGACTACAGCAGCATGCAGAGGCTGGGAGCCAAACTGGGGTGAGGGATGGAATTCCTTTCGCCACAGCAGCATTATATTTATGTCAGTGTTGGAAGTTTTATTTAGTTTAGAGCTGAAAACAGGCACTTGGTCTCTTTGTGATACAAGAAATAATACATTGTTTTTGCTCAGTTGCTGCTATGCATGTACAGAAAGTTCCAAATGGGGCAAGTTTCCCGTTTGTTTTCCTCATAGTTTTTTGTCGCCTTCCTTTATGCCGTTACTCTTCTCACTTACAGACTCAATTGTTCACAGTACCCAGTCAAACAGGCAAGATATTCACACGCTGCCATAACCGAAATGCAGCTGTGGCCCTTTGCCATCAACTTGTTGCTGAAAGAGAACTTATGCGCATTTTATATTTCTCAGAGACAATAACTCAGTGTTTTGAAAGACAAAGATTTAGTTGAATGTGAGTTTTTGTTGAATGTGAATGCGTAGAAACATTTCGGGCTCAAAGGAAGGACAGTTAGCTTTAGGGCTGTGTGTAGTAGATATTTAGAGCTTTTAATGTGTGGCACACTTTGTTGTAAATTTGAAGATGATTTTAAATCTGTACTCAATAACCAGTGAGGACAATGGTGAGCAAAGATTAGGACAACGGTGTAAAAACATTTTTAAGCTTTGAGTATCCCCAGGAGCACAGTGGCCTCATTTTATTATGAAACTTGCAGACACTCTTCCACTGCCATATCAGTTTCAAATAAGTCTACACAGACTTAGATTGCATTACAGTTAGAGCAGGAAGTGTGCGTTCTGTTCATGTGAGCGCAATGTGTGGTCAGTAATGTAAGACTTCTTCGGTAATAGAAAAGCTCCGGTCACTGTGATGATGATGATTTAAAGCGTGTTCAGATAATAATATAACAGAGGATTCATAGTTAAAGTGGATGGGTGGGACCTCCTTTTGAATTTGGAAATGTAATTATGAAAGCAACACAATGTTTAAAATTCATTTTTAGTAACTCTAATGAAGGCCATTTGTGATTTTCTCATGATATCATGTGTGTTTCTGAATCTTTTCCTCATTCTCTTGCAGTTTCGTCTCTGGGCTCATTCATAGGGTGAAAATCGAGGCCTTTGAGCGAATGCTTTGGAGAGTATGTAAAGGCTACACAATCCTCAGCTATGCTGAAGTTGAAGAGTATCTAGATGATCCTGACACAGTAAGTTACTCCAAGCTGACTTTATCCATCATATTTGTGTTTGTGTTTACCTGCTTTCATTTTGTAAAGTTTTCATAATTTCAGATTTAAACTGTATCCTACTTCTTAACTTCTACAGATGCTAGGTACTTAATTTGGCACAACAACATAACAAACTTGTTATCGCTTAGAACCTCATCCAGGAAATCCCTCCAGTGATAAGGACTTTGTTGAGACTTAGCTAGAGAGAATTTCCTGTTTGTTGAAAATTGATGTTAATCAATGAAAACCATATTTAAGCACCTGTACAAAAACATCTTGCCATGTTTGTACCATTTCAAAGCTGTCAAGACCTTGCAATGAACCATAATTCACTTCTGGAGAATATAAGTAAGACAGTTTGTATTTTAATCTTAACATTTTAACTTTTTGCTTTCAAATTTTGCTTGTTTATTACAGGGTTCTTGATGTTAAATTACTTTAAAAAGGTTTTTGTGTTGTATTAAAATACAATGCAGAGGACAGAGTATTGCAGAGTTCTTCAAATTACATTCAGTGAAGTAATTTCCTGAAACTGACCAACGGTGTATTTGTTAACTAAAATGAAACTGGCACCAGTGAAGCTGCCGTTAAGTATTTTCCTCCTGGATGTTCCCGTAAACAATGAGCACCGTGATCTTGTCTATTCTTACTGAGTGACAGCACTAATCCGCTTATCCATTTCCTCTGCTTGACCAGAAGGCAGGCATGTGGAGCTGCGACGGATCATTAATGGAATGTCAGACACACTCTCACTGAGAATTTACAAGCAGTGTTCACATCTATCGCTGAATGCTGAGAAAAGAGCAGGAGTCATGCTTTGTCAAAAAATCAGGTTGAGAACAGCAGTGCTTTTCAGCTGCTTTTTGTGACCTTAAAGATGTTTTTAAATTTAGTTTTCAGTCTTTTTTGTCTTGACAATAAGCAGCACGAACAGGTGTATAGCTCCACATTTTCACTTAATGGTTGTGAATTATATAGGTTTTCGGCAGAACACTTAAACTTCCCTTTTCAATGCTGATGGCGGATCATTGACACACACTTCCCCTTATTTTCTATCTGCAGGGTGAACCTACGAAAAGTGTGGTGTTCCTGATATCTTACTGGGGAGACCAAATAGGCCAGAAAGTGAAGAAGATCTGTGATTGGTAATTATTGAACTCAGTACATTACAGGTTCACATCTGCTGGTTTAGTTTTTAGGGTTTTTTTTTTCACTGGTAGTAGTGAGTTGTGAATAACACTCTTTTCCCCTCCATAGCTACCACTGTCACTTGTATCCGTATCCCAGTAGCAACGAGGAGAGGAATGATGTCGTGGAGGGACTAAGAACTCGCATTCAGGACCTGCACACAGTATGTCTTAGATTTTTTCACATATCTAAGGTGTTTATTGTGTGACAGGAAACTAGTCAAACTGTTGGTCGGTCATTAAAGGTGGACTTGTAAATGTGTTTCCAGTCTTCACCTTGTTTAAAATACAAGCTAGATCATTTAAAACTTGACTTCTCCAGGTTTTTTAAGCTGGAAGAAGATAGCATTTTCAACAAGTAAGCTTGTAGAAACCATGTTTATCGGGGCGCATTATGTTGTGTTACAAAAAGTCGTGTCAGTATTTCTCTTTTGGTCTGTTATCGTCAGCAAAAATGAAACAGTTGATACATTTTCTAAAAGATTAACCCAGTTGTGAACCTTGCCGTTTAATTTCCATCTGGAGCTCGGCTCTGTGAATCATTTGCTAGTTTTAACCTGCTGTGACTGAAAAATGAAATCACACACAATCCCCCCCGCAGCACATGATCAGCATGAGGCCTCAGCTGAGCCTATCTGAACTGTTTCTTCTCTCCTCTTTTGTCTCCTGTCTGCATTGTGTCTCACGTATTAACATAAACAAAGGCTCACTAAAGCCTCTTGTTTGAAATGGAAATACTTTTACTTCTTGTCATCTTCCATACATAGTGAAAGAAATGTTGAAAAATGTCAGGTTTTGTAAACTTTACTCTTTGTCGAAAGTCTTGAATATTTTTAAAGTGACACTAAAAGTCCTGTTTGTCCGCCCTTGTGTCCAGGTGCTTCATCGGACAGAGGATTATCTGAAACAGGTCCTGATTAAGGCTTCAGAATCCGTCTACACCTGGGTCATCCAGGTCAAGAAAATGAAAGCCATCTACTACATTCTGAACCAGTGCAGCTTTGATGTGACGAATAAGTGTCTAATCGCTGAGGTGTGGTGTCCCGTCGATGACATTCCCACGCTGCGGAGAGCGCTCGAAGATGGATCGGTGAGAAAACTGTTAACAGAGCCGCTCTGTTTTCCCCCCGTTGGCCTCGCTGCAGATTTTTTTGGTTTATTTAACCACAGCAGTTGTTTCATGAACTGCGGTATTGTTACAATGAAAGCAAGTACTGTGTGAGGCCTTCCTTTTTATTATCCTCGCTTTAGTTTCAGAAAAATACATTTTACATGGCTTTGGTACTGAAAGGCCACTGTTCATTCAGTTTGCAGGCTGATGAGGACAAAGTGTATATTTGAGAAAAAGAAAAGCACTTTTGACAGTAACTGTGCCTACATAGATTTATTTCTTTGCCACAAATAGCTCTCATTACATTGCATCACAAAATATCCAAATTTTCTTGTTCAAGTTATTTAGATTTTGCCCAGTTTCTGCAGTAGTGGTCACAGGTTGTGGGACTTTACAATGAAACAAGCTTATTGTATCATTTCAGAGAAAAAGTGGAGCAACGGTTCCTTCCTTCGTCAATCGAATACCCACTACTGACACTCCCCCCACCCTGATCAGAACCAACAAATTTACCTCTGGCTTCCAGAACATCGTGGATGCTTATGGAGTGGGAACTTACAGGGAGGTGAACCCTGGTGAGTCTTTTTTAATGATGCACACACATCACCAAATGAAACGCGAAAAATAAAATGTGCCAAACTTAAATCAGAGGCAGTGTTTTAATTATCAATGTGGAGATTGCAAAAAGGTTGCAAAAGAGGTAAATGCAATGTGGGTGTTAAAAATAGTGCAAAATACAGGAAAAAAAGACCTTTTTTAAACACGTGCACAACTCATGCCACCATTATAGAATTCAAGACTTAGCCATGAATTTGGAGTCTGTACATGAAAAGCCAAATTTCCTTTAATGGTGATGTCTCTGTGTAGTCATTGTACATATTGTTTAACATTTCAGATTTTTCATGTACGAGGTGTGTCAGAAAAGTTTCAGTACTGGTGTCACAAAAGATATATTGCAAACTCAAACTACAAGTTTTCCCTTTCAAAGTAATCCCCCTGGAGTCTAACACACTTCCCCAGCCTTCTCTGCCACACTGCCATGCACTCCTGGAAGGATTCTTCTGGGATCCTCCGCAGCTCCGTCGTCACAGCCATCTTGATGTCGCCCACTTCTTCAAAAACCGTTCCCTTGATGACCCCCTTGATCTTGGAGAAGAGGAAACAAATCCCACAGAGCCAGGTGGGGTGAGTTGGGAGGTTGCTCCAGCACAGCAATGTTCTTCTCAGCCAGGAGCTGTCGGATGCTCAGGGCATCGTGAGCAGGTGTGTTGTCATGGTGAAGCAGCCACTTGTCCTGCCACAACTCTCACCTCTTTATCTTCTCGCCTCTTCTCGCGCACTGAACGAAGCAACGCTGCAGGATCTCTTTGTAGACGTGCTGGTTGATCGTCTGAAGAGGAAAACACCAGTCCTGGAACATTTCTGACACACCTCGTATATTATTGCTAGATTTTGATGACTTGTTGTCTTTATATTTTAAATACAATATATTTTTTTCTTCCACCCATTTGTAGCTCCATTCACAATCATAACTTTCCCGTTCTTGTTCGCTGTGATGTTTGGGGATCTGGGTCATGGAGCTATCATGGCTCTCTCAGCTGCCTGGATGGTTTTGTACGAGAACAACCGAAAACTTAAAAACACCAGGAACGAGGTGAGTGAGAACTCCAAAGCAAGTCATGTCTATTCTCAAGCTTATTTGTGTTGCCAAGCAAAAGACAGTGCAGCCGAGTGATTGGATGTGTACTTGCAGATCTGGAACACATTCTTTGAGGGACGGTACATCATTCTGATGATGGGCCTGTTTTCCATCTACACTGGCCTCATATACAATGACTGCTTCTCAAAATCCCTTAATATCTTTGGTTCTGGGTGGAGTGTGAAGGCCATGTTTGACACGAAAGTGTGGACGTGAGTACCTAATGACAAGAACGACTTCTGGAACAGTAGAATCTGCTAAGCTGTAATGAACAAACTATAGTGTGTTTCAGGATATAAACACGAGATTGTCTGAATTTATTTCTTAATCACGTACATTCAACACACAGACTTACGGTTTTATTTGTGCCTTACAGTCCGGATACCCTCATTGGAAATCGTGTTCTTTCACTGGATCCGAACGTTACAGGAGTTTTCAAAGGACCATACCCTCTGGGAATCGACCCAGTAAGTAGAGATTTTTCAGGACTGTATATGACATAATGTATCATATAATACCTCATATACGTAGGTTTTGTCTTTGCTTCTAATCATTGTGGTATTTTCTGCATACTCCACGTATGGCATGTGCTCTTAAAATTGCACATGCATACAGAAACAAGCATACTGTGCATACATAATTGTCCAAAACATTACAAAAAGATGCTCATAAGCCTTTTAGGTAACACAAGAGTTGGTATTTTACGTGTCACTGCTTTTAACAATGAGAGTGACTCAGTAAGTTGCTTCCACACAGTAAATATGAAGGTGCATTTTGTTATACATACATATTTTTTTTTATATAACAAGATGCGCTAAAGAGCAATAGATGGGTGTAATTTTAGTTTCCTAACTAAAAGTTGACACCTTCATAGAGTAATACACTGAATAGGGTTGGAAAGTCCCATTGTTCAAAAAATGAATAAAAATCTATTTGTATAATTTTATTATATTAACACCAGTAAACGTGAACTAGCTTTGAATGTGGAGCGGCCAGATCTTATACCAACGCAGTAAATTAAATCAGTCCATCACAATTAACATTAAAAACTGGGTTATTGCTTTATGAATTGTAATACTACTCACAAGGACACACAACATAACTATTGTCCAATTCCTGGAATTGAAGTTATTGAATCAGTTGTGTAAAAATAACACGAGCATTAAGCAATAACCAAGACAAAGCTTGCTATTCTTTGTGGGATTTAAGTAACCATGCTGGAGTTAATCATTTATCAGCCACAGCTAACAATATGTCTTCTTTCTGTTGCAAAGATTTGGAACTTGGCATCCAACCGCCTTACATTTCTCAACTCCTATAAGATGAAAATGTCTGTGATCCTGGGCATCATACACATGAGCTTTGGGGTCGTCCTCAGCACTTTCAATCACCTGTGAGTATTCGTTTGTTTTTTGTAACCTCAGAAACTCATTAATATTGCATGTTACAGATTTTAACAGTCTGCCTTTTTTTTGTCAACAAAAACAGACACTTTAGGAAGAAGTACAACCTGTACTTAGTGTTCCTGCCTGAGCTCCTGTTCCTGTTGTGTCTGTTTGGATACCTGGTGTTCATGATTTTCTACAAGTGGCTGTTCTTCACTGTTAAGGACTCCAGATATGCACCGAGCATTCTCATCCATTTCATAAACATGTTCCTCATGCAGGGCGACGCAATGCAGCCTCTCTACCCAGGACAGGTGAGCAAGCGAACCTGAAGCTCTGTTTCTACAGCTGTTTACTGTCAACACATTCTATCTAACGCTGTTTCAAACACAAGTCACTGAGCGAGGCCTTCATAGTCTACTGAAATGGTGTTTTGCTTCTTTCAGACTGGCCTGCAGGTATTTCTTTTGGTTATTGCTGTTCTCTCAGTGCCTGTTTTACTCCTGGGGAAACCTGTCTACCTTTATTGGCTTCAAAATGGAAGCCACCGCCTTGGAATGTACAGGGTAAGGCTCTGAGGCGCTTTGCTGCCTATGAATATGGCCATAAATGTGAAAAAAAAAAAATATCTCTAAATATTTCTTCCAAGTGTAAATATGCAAATAAACCTAGCTCCTCTGTGTGGCCTCAGGGATACGAGCGCGTGCGGCGAAGCAGTGAAGAGGAGCTCTACCTGATGAGGGCTCATGACATGGAGGAGGGCAGCAGTCACAGCGAGTTTTCCACTAGTGGAGAGCAAAACACGGAGGAGGTCAGAGCAGCAAACAACCGCACACTCACCCATTAGTCTAAAACGTCTTTGCAAACAACCCTTGCTATTTTTACTGTTTTGTTTTTTTTTTTTGCCTATGACATTTATCATTTTCTTTGTTTTGTTGTAATAGTTTAACTTTGCAGATGAGTTCCTCCATCAAGCCATTCATACTATCGAGTATTGCCTGGGTTGCATCTCCAACACCGCCTCCTACCTGAGACTCTGGGCTCTGAGCCTGGCACATGCCCGTGAGTACGACATTTGCGATATTAGACATAGCTGGCCCGTCCCTCCTCTAAGCCTGCACAAGCACACACTGAATGCAAAGTGAGGTCATACAGTTTTAAATAACTCATCTTGCATTCTGAATCAAAGTGCCACTTCAGATTGTATTCCCTGTTCCACAAAACAACAGTGTGGCTTTGCTCTTGTGTGTACCAGATGTTGAGCATCTTTACATTGACAGTCTGTGACTACTGTGTGTTTGTTCTTTTGTTCAGTGATAAATATAAAGTGTGTAACAGTGTAATGCACAGTGGTAAGGAGCATTATAGCAAGCACAGTTAGAGCCAAGTGCGCACTTCAGTAATAGTGATGCCCTCAATTTACCAGATGCAGGGTAAAGGTTGTGAGTATATAAACAAATCACACTGCAGCCTGCTAATTTATGAAAATCTAGTATTCAGCTCTGTGTGTTCATAATACGTTTTCTCATATATTTTATTGACTTCACTCGATTTCTGCTGCAGATTTTATACAGTTGTCATTTAATTCCGCCTTTAAATACAACATGTAGTTTTGGCTTCCTACATTGGCTCACGTTATCCATGTAAAGCAGTCCTATAGATCTCTTGACAGGTCCCTCCAATCAAATCTAAACCTTAGGGCTAAAGTAAGCTTCACAGCCAAAAAAATCCCTCAGGGCTCCCTCCAAAGCCACTCCTTAAAAATCATGTAAAAAAAATACTAATAATTTTATTTGTACAGCTCCTGTCAAAAACAAAGTGCTTTACAATACAACAAATGTCAACTTAGGCATCAATGAAAAGAAATTCAAACAAATCAAAAGGATCCCAAACATGCAATATAAAAACTAGACAAAATAATTAACTCAAGTCAGCGTTATTTACACGGCACATTTAAGACAACAGCTGTTGTGTCAATGCGCCCTCTAGTGAAATAAGATTGTGATTGTAGCCTAACATAAATATTGGGTTTAAGACCTTATAGTGTTATTTTTGGTGTGCATTTACCAGAGTAATTAACATATAAGGGATTAAAAAGCTACAAAAATTATACAAAATACTGCTTTCCCTGACTATTATATAAATTGATGCTGAGACCCTACAGCGTGGTTTATTGTGGAGACTCACCGAAGTAATATGAACATTAATGCTGAGACTCTACGGCATGATTATTTATGGAGAATAACCTGACTGAGCTAAAGTTTTGACCTTATTAAAATACACATGAAAACGCAACGAATCCAAGAAGTTTCTGGATCCCATCTGAGGAAGTTTTATTTGATGACATGATCTGGCACATCCTCTCTGTCTGCTTGTTGTAATTCCCTGATTGGATGATGCCTGTGCTTTTTGTTCCACTTCAACAGAGCTGTCAGAGGTGCTGTGGGCCATGGTGATGCGAATAGGACTACGAATGGACACCAGTCTTGGGGTTTTATTCCTGGTGCCAGTGTTTGGCCTGTTTGCTGTTCTCACTGTGTCCATCCTCCTGGTGATGGAGGGTCTGTCTGCGTTCCTCCATGCCCTCCGGCTGCACTGGTAAGAGTATCTGCTGAAGCACTTGTGAGATTGTCACGGTCAATGTGCTTTGTGTTATCTCAGAGTTTTTAGATTCATAACAGCTGTTTGTTTCCTCCTCAGGGTGGAGTTTCAGAATAAATTCTACAGTGGGACTGGAGTCAAGTTTTGCCCCTTTTCCTTCTCTCTCCTGCCCTCCAGCTTTGAGCACGACGGTTTACTGTGAACGGACTATCTAATAACACTGTCAGGTGGCGAACAGAGCCAAAACAAGCCAGCAGGGTTCTGTGCTTAAAAAGACTTGATCCAGAGATGTCATGAGGTGATTTTGATATTTATTTTTCCTCTTTTAAAAAATTTGTCATGTAAAGAAAATTGTATGGTGAGTTTCACAAAGTTTCGCCAACCTGCTGCACTCCCAATTGTTTCAAAAAAAACAAAAAAACATGGACAAAACAAAGTGTGCTGTTGAGAAATTAGTATTTCTAATTGCAAATTCATGTAACAAAGAGTATTTTGTATCAGGATCAGTTTATGAAACAGCACAACATTTTGAGGTTGAAATGTGAGGATCAGTTTTAAAATGTAACCCATATGCTTACAACCATCAAATTTTTATAAGATAACGGTTGTTGATGTCATTTCTATCCACCAAAAGTAAAATAAAGGAAAAAAAACCCAACAATATAAGATATTTACTATTAGATAATAAGCAATTAGAAGGACTTACGATCTGGATGCACAGAAATCTCTGACGGAGTAATTTGTTCCCATTTTGGGGGGATGAATAAGAAAAAAGATAAAAATAACATCTTTTCCTTTAAGAAGAAAAAAAAATCAGATCTTTATTTATTTCTTGTGTTTCCCTAGGGCAATTCATTTTGGCATAATTGTGTTTGTGAATGCTGTTATTTTAGTTTCATTCTTGACTAAGTTTCAGTCTTTGGCCGATTTGGTTTCCGCATACTGAGTAGTGAGCCACTTCAGTTAGTTATTGCTCAGCTTTTTGTTGCACTGACTGCCTTACAGAAGTACAACTGCATAACAGCATACTGTATCACTCTTCAGGTTCCCTTATGTCCCCAGTCTATCCTACCAAAACACAGTGAAAGGTGTTTGAAAGGGCTTATGCCGCGATGAGATGTGTATATACTTTTGCAGAATTATTTTTTAATTTATTTTAAAACGTCGGAACGGAAGTACAGATGAATGTTAATGGAATGTGATTTTTACTTTGATGCATTCACAGTGTTGCCTTTGCGCCTGCCACTTACTGTACAATTTAACATTCCATGCATGGAAAAACTTCAATCATTCATTTGTTGACTCAGCTCTGCTGGCTGGAAGTAGCTTACTTTGAAAGATCCTAAATCCATTATTAGTACAGTGGCTGGCCTGCATTAAACCTTAATAGGAGCAAATTTAGTTACTGGTTTCAGGCACTGGTATTTGATCTTTTCTTTTTTTTTTTTAGTGGGTTAGTACCATCAGGAATTGGGATTGTTTCCAAAGGGAAGGAGAATAAATTGTTGTCACTGTTGTGTGTGGGAGGGAAAAAAGCGTCTGCGTTTTGTTCTGTGGCAGCAGAATTGAACTGATTATTTTAGCAGAGGTTCAGTTTGTTATCAGATCTTGATGATACAAGTGGCAGTCGCGGTTTTATTAGGGCAGGTGACATTTCATTAGTCGAAAAGGAATTGTTCAATGCTTGATTGAAGGGGTATTGTAATTTCTTCTAATGCAAGCCTGATTGCTCATTTAATTTTAAGAATCATGTTTTTCTGTTCACAAACACTACATGCTGTAATTCTTTTAAGAAAATTGTCTGTTCAGCCTCAATGTCAATAAATTGTATTTGTTTGAGTAGTTTTTCCTCTTCAAGCCCATAAATAAATTTCTTACTGCACCTGGGTTTATAGAAGCTACATGAAAGTTAACAGTAAGATGTTTGATCCACATCATGTCACAGAAGTTTACATTTTGAGTGTTTGTATGTTTGAGTGGTTTTTAGCACAAAATGACCAAATTCTGAAACCCTTTTAAAAGTTCAATGTGTATTTCTGGACCTTTGATCTTAGTGCTCTTTAAGAGGAATTATTTTGGAGCTGCAAGGTGGCTCAGTGGTTAGCACCGTTGCCTCGCAGGAAGAAGGTCGCCAATTCGCATCCCGATGAGGACACCCAGGATTTTTTTGCGTGAAGTGTGGGTTCTCTCCGGGTTCTCCGGCTTCGTCCCACACAGTCCAAAAACATGATGAGGTTAATTGGTGATTCTAAATTGTCCATAGGTGTGAATGTGAGTGTGCTTGGTTGTCTGTCTCTAAGTGTAGCCCTGTGATAGACTGGTGACCTGTCCAGGGTGTCCCCTGCCTTCACCCTGAGTCAGCTGGGATAGACTCCAGCCCTCTGCGACCCTATTGGGGATTAAGCGGTGTATAGATGATGGATGGATGGAGACTTATCTTGATGTGACTTGTTTACTATGTAGACACATCAACACTTTGTATATGAAAGCTGCAGTTGATGCAGTTAGGGATTAATTGCTAGAAAGTATACATATTGAGCTATAATTCCCACATCAGTAGTCTGAAATAGTCCTCTAATTGTGCATTTCTGGTACAATAACTGGCTATTATTGAAGTAGTATGTTAACTGATGTAACACAAAACAGAGCTTTAAAGAAATACAAACTAACTGATAACTTAAGTGAAGACCAACTATGAAAGTGTAGTGAAAACAGAAAGTTGGCAAGTTAAAAACATAAAAACAGAATAAAGACATGTACTTTAAAGCAACTGATGAGACAAAACTGTGAAGTCGTGTTATTATTTTTTTATGCTATATAAACACATTTTCATCAAGTAACTGTGGCTCATTAGTATTCCTGAAAATGTCCAATTATTTAAGTTTTGTTTTTACTTATTTTCTGCTATTTGGTTGCTAGAAGAACACAACTGCAGCACCTTCATGTCATTTAAATAGGTCTATTTTGCAAGGCAGTTAATATATGAAAAAATATCAGGTTTTCAGAGACTTGACCAAAACGATGAGTGACACTCACGTGTTTGTGGTCAGGCAGCAGCTGCCTTCCAGTCAGGTTAAAATTACCCACAATTCTCTGCCGTCACATCAGCAGCGAGTCGTTGCGTGGTTGCCAGGGCAACGGAAAGCGGTTAGCGTACAGCAGCATTGCTAAAATAGTTTCAAGAGTTTTAAATGGCGACGTGTTGGTCATGAAGAAGTTTTTTAAATATTTAAAATACTAACTACATGAACTGAACAATATGGTCCACGACGATTTACGAGTGGAATGGATCCGACAGCGAGTGTGTGCCGGCTTCAACCTAGCGAGCTGTCCGGACTGTTTCGATGAACTCCTCAGTCGGGAAGATGGAGAAACCGAAGAGGAGATTATCCGATACCTGGACGTCGTCTCTGAGAAAGGCTCGCCTTCTTGTCTCCTGTTTTTTAAAACTATGAGAGAGGAAGAGGTTGACGTTCCTGTCGGTAAGTTTAGACCAAGTCACTTGGGCCTCAGTGTCTCTGAGTTCATGTAGAAAGTCAGCAGAGGTTCAACAAACCGACTCTCTGTTGTTGTTACTGTGTTGTACTGATGCTTTAATTAAGTCCACAATTTGCCTTTCAAAGTAAAAAAAAAATGGGCGAAAACATCTTTTGGGAAAAAATTATCTTGTCTGACACCGTAAATCGTACCAACTTGAAAATCGCACCGGAGACAGAGATGATGTACAAAAGTTCTGAAGGGATTTGACGTTTCTCAGCCGGTTTTCAAATGGCGAGCCGGTAAAGTTGATGAGCTGCCGCAGCCTCGGGTGATGCTTTGTGTGGCTGTATATGGACATGTGCAGACATGCTGTGTCAGTTGGTCATCTACAGAAAAAACTGAAGGTCCTACAGCTTTAAAAATGACACTGAGGGCTTCCTAACAAGATTTCCCACTAAAATATGCTGTTTTTACACACATTTGGTGAAAATTGTGGCTGTATGGGAGAGTTTAAAAACCACAAACCTGCAGGTTAAGTTGTATAAGGAATATTAAATAATGAGACTAATGCTGCAATTCAATTTTATTCAATTTAAACAAATTAAAACAAATCAGGACTTGTTCAAGCTTCCCCACTGATGGTTGCTATTACACGGTCCATGCTGTCACACTGTGGTTCTCCTGAAGTCTCATAGTTTCATGCCCACACCTTGTACATTTTGCAGCATATCCGACCCTGTAGTGACAATGATTTTTTACAAATTCATGCTGTCCTCCTTGTGTGGCTGTCACGGTCGTTTTCAATAGAATCTTATGTGGTACTCCTTATTTGCATATTTTAAATCTAATACACGGTGAACTTTGAACTGAAGCTTAACTTCAAAAAATAATATTGCAAATCAAATCGCGTTATCAGTGAGAGAAATTGTATGCATTCAGTTCTGTACGACTGTAAGACAGCATCTAACTACAGTGTTTCTAACCTCAGAGATGAAAAATGACGACTCTTCAGATCCTGACAAGAAGGACACCCCTGACTCAGAGGAGACACATGAAGAAAGCCATGTGAGGTCAAACTAACTGGACACCTTTCTAATTGCTTTGAAGTTGTGACTGAGTTTGAAATTCTTTATGAAACTGATAGATAGTTGACATGTTTGACCCTTTGGCGTTTTCAGAGGACTGAGGTGGAAGTGGTCTATCACACTGAGCTTCATGTAGCAGTAAACCGCTACCCAGAGAGATTTTTTAATTCTCGTGTCTTCTACTTTCTGAGGAACACGAAGGGTGAGACGGCAGTTCAGTCATTACAGTTACACATGTTTGAGCCTCTGTTGCACATAAAAAATGATTAACCAAGATATTATTATTTGTGTTTTAAACAGAACCCATTGTTGAACCACTGGATATGAATGAAGCCAATGTCACGATGTGCCGGCTTTTTGACATTGGCATGCATAGTGGATACCCACTTCGGGTGCTACAGAACACACTTTCGCATGTAAGTAAAATAGGAAAACTATTCACGAACCAGCAGCAGCCTCTATCAGTAAGACTAAAATTTAATGTAACAACAATGGAAAAGCTGTAAATCGCAAAATACCTGCTTTTCTGAATAAATAATACAGGATGTCTTATTTCTCTGTTCCTCTCGTCAGCTGTATATACCCATGCTTAATGCGCAACAGATGACCAAAACTGGAGGAGGTCATCAAAACGAGGAAGTTTCCCTTGACAAGGAGCCCAGTGGAGACGATGAAGAGGAGACTCCAGCGAAGCCAAATGGGCAGTTCACGATTCGCGACGAGTTGCTCAACAGGACACACAAGTTTTTGGGAATGATCAACAGAACTCTCCAACGCCGTCAAATTGAAGGTTTGTTTTATTTGTTTTACCCAGGCTCATTACGTTTAGTTTCCAGAATTCATCAGTAGTTTAATATTAAAAAACACAAATTAATTGGATTGAGCTCTGCAGAGTGATCAGCAGCCTTTAGGTATTCCTGATGTCGCCTCTCTGTTTCTGAGCATATCCCTGTATGACAAGACTTTTGTCAAGACTGTGGTCTGTTGTGAAGAGTGCAATCTTGGAGCAGTTAATAATACAATAAAATGTCTTGGGAAGGAATTTATCAGTCAGGGGAAAAGCAAGCTTTGGTTATTTTCAATCCCCATTTTATAAAATTTCATAATAAGTCATGTAATCTAAAGCTAGTCTCTTTGTACAGATGAGATTTCGCTGCATATCCCTGAACTGGACCTGGACTCCGGGGTGGATGTCCTGCTTTCTGATCCCGAGACGCTGGAGAAGTTGGAGCAGTGTGTGATGAACTGGCAGACTCAGATTACCATTGTCATTGAGGAGCAGCAAAACAAAAAGGCACAGGTTTGTGTCTTTTTCTATATTCTGAGGTTCAACCCAGGCAGGGTGAAATACTTGTCAGCTTAAAATGTAGTTATTAGTAAAACATCAAATGTACATGCTGCTATCCAATATGAAACATTCACTCCACATTTCTGCTCCAGACGCCTGGCCCTATGGGTGAGATAGTGCTGTGGCAGGAGCATGCATCTGTCCTGAGTGCTCTGAGTGAGCAGCTTAAACAGCCTGCGGTGGAGAAGATCATAGAGGTGATGACCAAAGCAGATGCAGGCGTTGTTCAGACCCTGCAAGAAACAATTGCTGAACTTACTAAATACCGTTTGGTGTCGGAGAGTAATGTCGACTTTCTCAAGACACTGGAGAGACACTTCATGGTGAGCTGCCCCTTTTTTTTTTTATAAACTTTTAGGATTTTTTAACAGGAATGTTGGTTGCACATCTCTAAAAGTAAGGACTGACAGTTTCTGTCTATTTACAAAGCCCTAAATGGTGGTCCATTAACAAGTGATCCCACAATCTTTATTTCATGTGATGAGCTATTGCTTAAAGTCCTGTGTGCTTGTATCTGTAAGTGAGTTTAAAGCCATGATTATGGGCTACAGTGCCCTTGAATGTGACTGTTTAACTGTGCTTTAACTGTTATCAGTTGTGTTTATAACTCTGTTCTTTTTGTTTAAATTGTACTAATGGCGCCATTAAAAATGAGGCAATGCTCTCAATGATCTTTTAAATAATGGTCGAATGAATGAGTGATTGCATAACTGCTGAATAATCTACTTTAATTGAAATCGTGGCTACAGAACTGTTGTGGTAGCCTCAAAGTTACCATCTTCTGTTGTAGAATCTGGCCACTGGAGCAGATTTTTTTGTGATCCTGAAGACCATCCCTGATCTGATGGAGAGCCTGCAGATTGTGTGGATGATCTCCTGCCACTACAACACAAATGAGCGCATGGTCCCCCTCATGGAGAAAATTGCCTGGCAACTTTGTGAACGCGTGGCTCAAGTAATTGATGTCCACACCCTGTTCAAGTATGTGTGAATATCGTCTAACTTCTTAGCTAAAACTTACAATGTCAGCATTGTTCAGCAGTCAGTCGTCATCCTTCATTAAAATGTGCTGTTTTGCTGTTTCACTGTAACCTGAACCATGTGTTGTGCCTTGAACAGAGATAAGAGAGAAGTAGCCATATCCACGGTGCATGAGGCTAAGCAGGTTCTGGATCAGTGGAAGTCTTCCTACTTTGAGATGCGTGCTGGAATTGAAGAATTAGGCCAATATTCCCGCTGGGAATTTGACCGTAAGAGACTGTTTGAGAGGAGTGATTACATGGCTTCTGTCTGCCAGGATCTGTACAACGTTTTGCAGGTCAGTGTGTATACTGCATCAATACTGACCCCTCACTCAACAACTGCACATGTTTATGTCTAAAATAAAGCTAATTTAAAAAAATAAAATAAGAAAATAATTCTTCCGTATTTGTGTTGTGCAGATTTTGGAGGAGTTTCATAACATCTTTGGTCCAGAGCTGAAAAATGTGACTGGTGACCCAAAACGCATTGATGAAGTGCTGTGCAGAGTGGATAACCTGGTTTTGCCTTTTGAGGAAGTCGATTTTGATCCTTTCAGCATTTTTAAGATGAGCAGCTGGAAAATGATCATGCAAGAGTTCGACACCACAGTTCAGGTTGCTATATTACAAAAGCTGGCATAATTTACTTCAACAGTAGTAATATGGTAGTATCATAATTAAATGTCAGGTTGCACCAACATAGTTGCAAAATATCATGTGTGCTGTACCTCTTTTATCAAGGTGACTGTGTTTTTCTTTTTACTTGTCTGCTCAGGCTATTGAAGGAGAGGCCATCAACTTCATCGATCAGTCTTTTAAGACACTGCGTTCTTCAGCTGCTGCCTTTGAAATGCTGCTGAAATTCAAACACATCCGCTCCAGAGAGCTTGTCAACAACCATTTGATGAAAAAGTTTAATGACATCTTGGCTCAGTTTTGCAAAGAGGTACTGTACTGTGAAATCAAGAAAAAAAGTGCTGGTTGATGTTTTTCTTTGTGGATAAAGTTCGGTTACTGTCAGGGGTTTGTCTTGGCTCAGAATGGGGATTTATAGGTGACTACGCATTAAAGTAAGCATGGTCGGACTGAGTAGAGTAAAAACTATGAGTCTGTGTTACCTTATTTGACTGAAATCTTTAAACTTTTCTCCTACTGCTCATCATTTGATAAACAAAAATGATAATAATGTTAATTGCTTTTGCACTATTTGTTTTATTTTGCATCTACCACCAAAAAATTGTCTATGCCGAAAAAACCCTGTTATCAGCAGGCTGATATGCATGTGACTTATATTGAAAGCACGTGTGCAAACCTATTTGCAATGTTGCGCTGCAACTAACTACTTCTAATAATTGCAAATGGCATTTATTCCATATAGCTTTGATACATTACCATGCAGCTTATTTGCCCATATAACGCCTAGAAGTTACATTTTACAGAATCTCATTATGAAATGCTGTACAGCTATGTTTTATGTTCATTTCTTGTAGCTGCTCTATCAGTAGGGTTTTAAATACGGTGACAGGATAGCCAGCAAGCACAATCAAGTCCTTTTTTTGTCATCGTTGTAGGTGGACAGCATAAATGAAATCTTTGAGACAATGAAGGACAAACCACCACTAAGTAAGAATGAGCCTCCTGTGACCGGAGCCATCAGATGGGCACAATTTCTTTTCCGCCACATCAAACAAACCATCCTTCCCTTCCTGAAAGTGCCAGAGATGGTGGCGAGTGAGCAGGGTAAAGCGGTGAGTTATTTCCCTGTGTAGGTCAGTACAAATATGAAACTTTTTAGACACCAAAATGTTATTAAACGCTCCCCCTGTGATGATGCTGTATTCCGCTCAGGCCAAGGACAAGTATGTGGAATTAGCACTGCGCATCAAGGACTATGAAGTGAACAAGTATGAGTGCTGGCAGGAGGAGACAGAACAAAACCTGCCATTGCTGATGAAGAAAACCCTGTTGGTCAGGATTACTAGTGACAACCCAGTCCAGACAACAGGGGTATGTCTCTCTCATATTTAACTTACTTAAAACTGTTAACTGCTGTAATATTGTGCAAATTACAGATACAGTAGCAATTCTGATTTTCATGATGTTAAATTCCTGCAGGATGTCCCACCAACTGAAATAAGCCTGGAGAGGGGTATTCGATATATGGTGAACTTTGCTCCAGAGATCTGGGAGACCATTTCTGAGGCAAACTACCTTTCAGCACTGGGCTACTCTTTGTCTGACATGCCCCTAAATGTTGCTCTGCAAAAGGACAAATTAATCAAGTGAGGACACACCCGTAACTACACACAGAATTTATACCAAGGCTTAAAACCTCTGATTTATGTCATTTCTGACTTGTTTCAAATTTGCTTTTAGGTGTGTCGATGACCTTAACAGGCTTGTCAACTGCTACCACTCTGTCATGGAAAGCCTGAGTGAGGCACATATCATTATGTTGGCTCCACACATCAAAGCCGTCCGAAAAGTGATGCTTTTTGGATGCAAAAGAGCCAACTGGAATTCCATCGGTACTGTGCTTACAGAGGCTGAAACGTCTTTGTAGTCTCATGAAATTATTGTTGCATGTAAAACTGATATCAGATAATATTTGTTTGGTTTCAGGGATCCCCGAATTCATCACACGAAGCATTCAGGCTGTCTCTATGTTTCAGTCACTTGTCAATCAAATTCACAACAATGAGAAGGAAATTGATTCCAAGTTGCAATCGTTGATGATGGCAAACTTACTGAAATTTCCAATGCCAGATAAATCAAGCGACTTACCAGGTAGAACTTGAAGGAGCACATTATTTTTTTGGCTATAAAAATTTGATAAGGACTCAAACGTATTGTTACTGATTTAACTGACTATTTTTTTAAGGTGTCAAGAAGTTCTGTGAACACATTGAGCGAGAGCGGGTCAAGACCATAAATCTCCTAAGTAGGAAGTATACCGCCATTGGATTCCTCATCACAACGACGGAACATCTGATCATGGAAACCAGCAGTGGCAAAGCCAAATGTATGGCAAGTTATTACATGTACTGGGAACGCAAGGTGCTGGATGCCCTTATACAGTTGGTGCTGAGGTAACTATGTGATGCTGAGGTTATCTGCTGTGTGTTTTGTCATAATCACTGCATTTTTGCAATGCAGTACAATATCTGTCTCAACGAGCACATCTCATGTTTTCAGGAACATACAGGCCTTCAGCATGACGCTGATGGGAAGTACCGCTCTCTTTCAAGTTGATGCCATCCTGTCTGCCCCGAAGATTGTGTTGCAGCCTCAAAGCAATGAGATCTACTGGCTGATCATGCAGTGTGTCCGAGACTGTATAGACAGCACCAAGGTGGGATTGTCACAACTGTTTTATATATCACTGCATTTTTAAAAAATGTATATTGTTTGTAGTCTAACGCTGATTGATGTGACTTGATTCTGACTCTATTTTTGTGTGTTAAGCAATTTGTGCGCTGGATGCATGGGACCTGCATTGAGAGCCCTCCCCAGCATGTGGGAGGTGAAGATGAGTTTGTGACGTTCAGCTTCTACAGTGACGTGTGTCAGCATCCTCAGATAAATGAAAGTGTCATGACAGTGTCCCAGAACATCCAGAGGCTGCTCCTCTCTGTCGATCGGTACCTTTCCCACTGGAAACGCTATCGGCCTCTCTGGGAAAGGAACAAAACCATTGTGAATGAAAAGTTTGCTGCTAAGAAACCGTCCTGTGTCATGTATGACAATAGGCTCCAGTTCCTTGCTCGTATTAATCAGGAAGTGATGCTGGAGCCTCTGTTCATGAAAGAACACATCATCCATCTAAACCTGGATCCTCTGGCTCAGACTGTGCAGGAGATTGCAGAATCCTGGATCAGTTCATTGGGTAGCTTACTTAACAAGCCTGCAAAAGAGGATCTCTTCGACCTGAGGGATGAACTTATGGTACTGATTCATGCTATTTAGTTTTCTAGTGTTTGTATACTGTCTATTATTTGATTTCCATATGTGATGTTTCTTTATGGATATTTTATAAAATAGCAACTCTCCAAGAACCTGAAACAGCGCCCAGACACTTTTGAAGACCTGAAGTTTGTCCTTAGCACCATCTCAGACATCAGGGACATGTCTTTGGAGGTGGAAATGAGATTCACCGACATTCGGGAAAAATACAGAACACTGGCCATGTACAAAGCGGAGGTACTGTGGGCTTAATGCTAATTTGTTGTCCTTTCAAAACTGATTTTGCTTTCCATGTTGATCTTGTCGTGTTTTATGTGTTTTAGGTTGGAGAGGATGAACTGGAGCTGATGGCCAATATTGACCAGATATGGAGTGATCTGTTTGTAGAATCCAAACAAGTGGATGAAAGTCTGACAGATGTCAAGAAATCATTTACTGTGGTAAGACTTCACAGCTGAAACAGCAAAGGAAAAGTATGATTGTTTTACATATTTACAACTGCTACACTTCCTGTTCTCTTTTCATCTCACTCAAAGACTAAAAAGGAGCAGATTGAAGAGTTTAGACAAGATGTGTTTATCTTTGCCGAAAGCTTCAACATGCACGGTCCTGGAGCTGTGGGAGATGATTTGGAGAAAGGTATAGACCATTTTAAAACTCACCAACTAACAGCAAACATTTTACACAAAAATACACTTAATATTATGATGATTACAACTAATAATGCTAAAAAATAATGCAATAAAGATTAAAAACAGATGGATGCTGAGCAATGCCAGATATTATCCAGTGTAACATTTCTATGGTGTCAACAATATCAGCTTTTGTGGGCTGCTTGAGAGTTCTATTTGGAACACTAGTGGCTCTTTAAAGAATGCTGAAATGGTTCAGCAGAGTCAATGAGTCCCAAAGTGGCGATATCTCAAAAAAAGGACTGTTGATTTTCTTGAAGAATTAGTACTGCTGTGAAATAGTCTACAAAGTTTCTTTAGAGGGTCTTTATCTCAACTGCAGTACAAAAGCTTTCTGACTTTCTGACCAAGAAGTAGCAACTTACCACAGAGTTTACATTTTCTTTTGCAAGGAAATGCATGTTGTTAAGTTTTGTATTAAAATTTTTTATTATTGTTATTATTATTATATGACCTTTATCTATTTATATGGTGCTTTTCACAAACTTCAAATTATTTCAGATCAGCCAAACTGATGATAATCATTCACTGGCACAATGTGACCACGTGACATTTTAACTGGCACACAGTCAGTGACGCAAAAATGGTCACAGTCTGGAGCCCTGTGTAGGCACATTGCTGTGTTATTATAGCATGATTTATAACTGAATTTATAAATTCTAATAATAAATAAAGAATAAAATTTATAAACTAATTTATAATTGAATTTCCCTTCTTTATTGAATTTCCCTTCTGGGATAAATAAAGTATTTTTCATTTCATTTCATAACATTATATTATATTGCGTAAATCCCATTCATTTATTAGATTAGGAAACACACATCTCTAGAGGGCCACACAAAATGATGTGGCAGGCCTTGAGTTTGACACGTGAAATAGACCGCTTCTCTAAATAACTAATGACTAATGCTTTGGCTAGACCCACATTTAAATAAACAAATTTTGTCCTGTATTATTAAATGTTAGAATATCAAATTTAATCAAAAAGACTGTTATGTGTGCTGGAATTGCAGGCTTAATGTCCCACCCTCCTCCTTTATCCGGGCTTGGGACCAGCAAAGTGACCCAAAGAAGCACTCTGGCAGAGTTACTGACTTTAAAAAAAAAAATAAAAAACTACAAATTTTTCTTTAATTTTGTTCTAATCTTTTAAACTATATGTTATTAACATAACATGCTAATATATATTTACATATATGACAATATGACAATATATATATACATGACATGGGTTGATCTAATAATTAATAATGATGTTTTACAATTAAGTAAACTTCAATTGAATCTAAAAGAAATAATTCATATGTTTTATTACATTTACATGTAATGAAAGATATTATTAATTACTGGGTGGCCCACCACTCCTAAATGATCATAGAGGAAACATTGGGTATGTGTGCGCTTGCATTATAGCTGTTATATCCAGAGGAATCGTGGAAGAAACAATCTCTCTCTCTTGTGTTCTTTGCAGGACTTACGATTATGGCAAAATATGAGGTGGATCTTGCCAAGACAGTGGCAGAACGGCAGGAACTAACTAATGCTGAGAAGCTGTTGGACCTACCAGTGACTTCGTACCCAGAGGTTATCAACATGCAGAAGGACATGGAGGGCTTGAGACAGATATATAATGTATATAAAGCTCAGCAGGTGGGATATGGTGACTGTCGATTGAAAAAAATGCAGATCAGAATACATGACACAAACTTCTGGTCAACAAAGTTTTTCCAGCATTTCATGTTTGTCCTTACACCTCTTAGGATGCCAAGGCAAAGTGGTCACAGACACTGTGGGTAGATTTAGACATCCAGGTGCTACAGGAGGGTATTGAGGGTTTCATCAAAAACTTAAGGCACCTGCCCAAAGACGTGCGCGCCTTGCCCGTGGCCTTCTTCCTGGAAGGACGTATGAAAGAGTTCAGAGAGTCTCTGCCTCTTCTGCTGGACCTGAAGAATGAGGCCCTCAAAGACAGGTCAGTCTAAAGATTGATACCAAAACTTTAGTGAAAAAAATCTGACACCCAAAACAAAATCAAGGATTAATTGAGTGTGAAATATTTTTTTTGCAATTTAAGTTTTCATTTGTTGTAATAAGTTACCTTTATAAAATAGGGGTGATTCAGTTGTGGCATCATTAGACAATGAAATAGTTTATGGTTGTAGCATGTGTAAATATGATCTGTAGACCGGGTCAAATGAAACACTGAATAAAAATGAATATGTTGGTATATTTCAGGCACTGGAAAGAGCTGATGGAGAGAACAGGCACTAGCTTTGAGATCAACACTGACACCTTTACGCTGGAGAACATGTTTGCTATGGAGTTACACAAATACGCAAATGTCATAAGTGACATTGTCTCCTCTGCTGTGAAGGAGCTCAGTATTGAGATGGCAAGCTTCCCTGTTTTTGAATTATCTCAAACTGAGTTATATAACAATTTTATCAGCTTGTCATTAAAATAGAAATGACTTATAACAATATTTTCTCTATATGTGCATTTTGATGTCTGTGTTTCCAGGGAGTAGAGGGAGTGGTACACACCTGGGAAGGCATGACGTTCAGTGTGCAGCCTTATTTTAAAGGCACCGAGAAGCGTGGATCCATTCTGGGTGCCGTGGATGAGATACTGCTGAATGTGGACAATGATGTCATGAACTTACAGAGCATGGCCGGCAGCCGTTTTGTTGGACCCTTCCTCAGCACCATACAACAATGGGAAAAAAATCTGTCCCTTATCAGTGAGACCATAGAGGTCAGTAAAAGCAGCCAAATCTTCAGTCACATTTGAGCAGATCCATAAAATCCTCGCTAATAAAATCTTTCTCACACAGGTGTGGTTGCTGGTACAACGAAAATGGATGTACCTGGAGAGCATATTCATTGGTGGAGACATTCGCTCGCAGTTACCTGAGGAAGCAAAGAAATTTGACAACATTGACAAAAGGTTTAAAGACGTGAGTGTTTTCATAATATTGGCCTGATGAAAGCAAAGTACCTTTGTTACTGGAAACTCCAAATAATATCTTCTCCTGAATTATTTTCAGATAATGAATGTCACAGTAAAGGATCCGAACATTAAGCGATGTTGCCTGGCTCCCAACCGCCTAACAGAGCTCCAGTCTCTGAGTGATGGTCTAGAGAGGTGCCAAAAGAGTCTCAATGACTACCTGGACTCCAAGCGGAATGCATTTCCTCGCTTTTTCTTCATTTCTGATGATGAACTGCTCAGCATTCTTGGGAGTAGTGACCCTGCATGTGTCCAGGAGCACATGATCAAGGTATTTGGTCACTACTGATGTTGGAAGAGTGACAGAATGTTTTCCACTGTGGGGGATAAGAAGGACAGCTGCCCTACCAAGTGTCAAACACTCTATTTGATATTTTTCACTCATTGTTTCTTTAGATGTATGACAACATAGCATCTCTGAGGTTTGACGTGGAAAGCGGTGGAGCTACAGTTGTTGGAGCCATGGTGTCTGCTGAGGGTGAGGTGATGGAGCTGAGGAATCCCATCCCAGTGGAGGGCAGAGTGGAGGAGTGGATGATGGGAGTGCTTCTGGAGATGAGGAGGACGAATAGACTCATCACCAAGGAAGCCATCTTCCGCTACTGTGAAGACAGGAGTAGGTATGTGCAAATACGATGCAAATGTTTTTGAAAAATTTTCCCAGTGTCTGTTGGTGCAAATGATCCACAGTAACCCTGTCGTTCCCATGTTTCTCAGGGTGGATTGGATGTTGCTGTACCAGGGAATGATGGTGCTGGCTGCAAATCAAGTGTGGTGGACCTGGGAGGTAGAGGACATCTTTCAAAAAGTGAAGAAAGGAGAGAAGCACGCTCTGAGGAACTACGCTGACAAAATGCACCAGCAGATTGATGAGCTGGTAACACGCATCACTCAACCTTTGAAGAAAAATGACAGACGAAAGATCAACACTGTGCTTATCATCGATGTCCATGCAAGAGACATTGTGGACAGCTTTGTACGAAACAGGTAAACTTAACATTTGCACATCCCGTTTGTATAGGTAAGTGCTTTTAATGGCGACTTCATTGTAATAAAAGGATTAAACTAATATTGTAATCAATTTCCAGCATAATGGATGCACAAGAATTTGAGTGGGAAAGCCAACTAAGATTCTACTGGATCCGTAAACATGACAACCTATTTGTGCACCAGTGCAGTGCTTCGTTCTCTTATGGCTATGAATACATGGGGCTGAACGGTCGATTGGTTATAACCCCACTGACAGACCGGATCTACCTCACTCTCACGCAGGTCTGAAACATATAGTAAATTCGTAACTAAACAGGGACATATAAAATGTTCTGTTTGCTTGTTTTGACAGTATTTGTACATGTGGATGCGTATTTCTGATGCAGGCCCTCTCCATGTACTTGGGTGGAGCTCCTGCTGGGCCGGCTGGCACAGGAAAGACAGAATCCACCAAAGATCTGGCTAAAGCTTTAGGCCTGCTCTGTGTGGTTACAAACTGTGGTGAGGGAATGGACTACATGGTAAGAAGCCTATACTTGAAAAACTGACAGCTACTGAAAAATGTGGCATTTTCCACAACTGCTGTACCTATGTGGAAAAAATACAGCAAAGAATGTTTCATTTGACTCTACCTGTTTGTTTGAATCCCTTTTCTCTTTGTGTGCAGGCTGTGGGTAAGATCTTCTCTGGCCTCGCCCAGTGTGGAGCTTGGGGCTGCTTTGATGAGTTCAATCGCATTGATGCCTCAGTATTGTCAGTCATCTCCTCCCAAATCCAGACCATCCGCAACGCTCTCATTCTGCACCTTAAAAGGTTTCTTGTAAGTCTGTTGCAGGGATGTACAACCAGTTATAAAATGCAATGAAAATAGTTCCATCTTCATTACACATTCAAGGATATTTCATAAAGATTGAAGTTCACTTCATTGATGATAATTTTAAAAATTTAAATCTATTAATTTGTTATACAGTAATGGCTTTGTCTCCCTGGGAGAGTTTAAATCTCTGATCAAAAGATGTGCAATAGAGGAGTGCAGTTGCTATTCCGATTTTGTTTAGTGCATCTTAATCTCTTGGTTCTTTTGATTTGCTTTTGTTACATGTCAGCTGGTGTCATGGTCAGTTTTATCATCTTTTGTAACTTTAGGGCTGTGGGCCTTCTCAGCTAGGGCTCTCTCAAAAAAGTGATTTTTGTCTCACAGTACTTCCTGGTTAAAAAAAAAGGTTACATAAGATAAATTTGCATTTTTTAGCCAGTGTGCAGAAGAGTTGTTGACTTTAATTCTGCCTAAATAACCCCTTTTTCAATATTCCTATCAGTTTGAAGGGCAAGAGATCAGCCTGGACGACCGCATGGGGATTTTCATCACCATGAACCCTGGTTATGCAGGACGTACAGAGCTGCCAGAATCAGTCAAAGCCCTCTTCAGGCCTGTGGTGGTCATTGTACCTGATCTGCAGCAGATCTGTGAGATTATGCTCTTCTCTGAGGGCTTCCTAATGGCAAAGGTGACAGATGCATAGACTAATCACAAATGACATTGTTTATCGTTTAACTGATGCTGTCATATCATGAATCATGTACATGCATTTCTATAACAACTCATATTGTTGTTCTCAGGTAGTGTGAGAATGCAAATATGATTTACAATGAAACATTTTCTATTTTTAAGCACTAAATCACAATACTGTCAGTTTGTATGTCAGTTTCTAAAAAGATTATGTTTTTACTTTTGTGCATTTTAGGTGCTAGCAAAGAAGATGACGGTACTTTATAAGCTGGCTCGAGAGCAGCTGTCCAAGCAGTCTCACTATGACTTTGGCCTACGAGCTTTGAAGTCTGTCCTCGTGATGGCAGGAGAGTTGAAGAGAGGCTCACCAGACCTCAGTGAGGTAGCGACCAAATAACATTTTTTATGTTTCTCATTTTCACATATTCAATAAAAAAATCGAAGGAGTTGTTTGTGATCTTTCAGGAATAGAATGAAAGATGATTGCTGTTGGAAAAATATTCCTAGATGTCACAGAGAACATGAAAGTTTTACTGCGCTTCATAAGTTTGTATGAATTATTGGCAGCTGTCCGAACTAAAAGCCGTTTCTAGTTAAATTACCCTCACTCAATCCCCTATTAAAAATCTAAAGTTTTAATGGGTGCTTCTTTGCTGATGAAGAACAGGTTATGTTGGTGTAAAATGCTGTTTTAGTCTTGAACTGTTTTCCAGTTTAATCTCTGTGAAATAAAATCTCCTTCTTTTGTCACTTACTATCTGTATTTCTGTCTTTCCTCTCCCCAGGATGTGGTGTTGATGCGTGCTCTCAGGGACATGAACCTGCCAAAGTTTGTGTTTGAAGATGTCCCCCTGTTCCTTGGACTGATCTCAGATCTGTTCCCTGGCCTGGACTGCCCTCGCGTTCGCTATCCTAACTTCAACGATGCTGTGGAACAGATCCTCCAGGACAACAAATATGTCATGCTGCCTAACCAGGTGTTATATCTGGGTTTGACATCTGATCCGCTGAATTGCTCTCAAGATTTAGTTTCAGTGTGTGAGTTTCTACAGTAGTTGCTGATACCCTGTTCTTTGTCCTGTCTGTGGTTTCAGGTGGATAAAGTGGTACAGATGTATGAGACGATGATGACCAGGCACACGACTATGGTTGTGGGACCAACGGGTGGAGGGAAATCAGTTGTGATCAGCACATTATGCCAAGCTCAGACCAAGTCAGTGTCAGTTTACATTACCTTCCTGATCTTTTGTATGACTAGTAGTAACCTTCATTTCATCTCATCGTTAGATTGGGATTGCAAACCAAACTTTATCCCCTGAACCCTAAAGCCATGAGTGTCATTGAACTTTACGGTGTTCTGGACCCTGACACTCGAGACTGGACTGATGGGATCTTATCCAACATCTTCCGTGACATCAACAAACCTACTGAGAAAAAGGAACGGCGGTAAAAAGTTTGAAGTTCAAGGAGAAATTTGATGAGCATGCGCAATATGCCAGATAAACCATTTATACAATCAAACATTAGAGTAGAAGGAGACAGAGTTTTTGTGAAACACTGCATAACGGCAGGATCTTTGACTGACAGGTACATCCTGTTTGACGGGGATGTGGATGCTCTGTGGGTTGAGAACATGAACTCAGTGATGGATGACAACAAGCTCCTCACTCTCGCTAATGGAGAACGGATCCGTTTACAGGGCCACTGTGCCCTGCTGTTTGAGGTTTGTCTGAATTTAAAACCATTTTCTGCACTTTTTGCCAAGCAACTTTCAGAACATTTTGTAATGAAATTTTGCTGTCTTAGGTTGGAGATCTGCAATATGCTTCCCCTGCTACTGTTTCCCGCTGTGGGATGGTTTTTGTTGACCCTAAAAACCTGCGATATACCCCATTCTGGCAGAGATGGGTGAACAACAGACCGGTCAAGGTATAAGAAAAAATATATTTACTATTTGATAACTGTACGTGTTTATAATTTGATAATATTATCTCGACAATGTCTTTTCTAGGAACAAAAAGTACTAAACAAACTGTTTGAGAAATACGTGCACAGCTCCATTGACATGATTGTGGATGGTATTGTTGATGGAAAACAAGGTCAGAAACTGAAGACTGTTGTCCCTCAGACAGATCTCAATATGGTAGGTTAATCTCATCCGTCTCGAATGTCCTGCAGTACCTGCGTTATTGTACGTAAGCTGAGAGACCTGAATGAAGTTTGGTATCCGCACATATTCAGAATACTCGAAATGACTGCGTGTGTATTGACGGTGTGTTCAGGTGACTCAGTTGTGCTTGACATTGGACGCGCTGCTTGAGAGTGAGAGCAGCAGTGCTGAAGTCCTGGAATGTTACTTTCTGGAAGCTCTGTACTGCTCACTGGGGGCCACACTACTGGAGAGCAGCAGGGTCAAGTTTGATGAGTTCATCAAAAAGCTTTCCTGCTTAACTACAGTGCATGATGAGAAAGCCCTGGCTGGACCTGGAGAGATCCCAGGTAAAGAGCAAACATTTGTCCTTTTGTTGAATTTATCCTGCATTATTAAGACTGTGTGTTTGTATGTATACCCATTTCAGGTTCACTTTAAATGTGGGTTACATGTAATATTACATTGCAGAGATTATATAATATGAGATTTTAAAAAATAGTTCCTTGTCATTGAGAGTTAATAAATTTTTTTATTGTTTGGGGTTTAAGTAATGAAGAAACCAAACCTATTTCAAAATATAAGTTTATTCCTTACAAGAATTTATGCCAGTGGGTTTTATTGTGTCACTTATTACTGATAGCAAAGTGACTGCATCCATACAGGATACCTGCCATCTCTGTATGAGTTCCATTTTGATGGAGCACAGGAGAAGTGGATACCCTGGAGCTCCCTGGTGGCCAAATACATTCACAACCCTGAAATGAAGTTTGCTGATATCCTCGGTAAGATCTGTGGTAGCTGTGAAGCGAAGACAAATTAAGATTTAAACTTTTTTTAGCCTTGATTCCTTCCTGCTTCCCTCATATTTTTTGCTCCAGTGCCAACTATTGACACGACGAGAGCCGGCTGGATCCTGGAACAGATGGTGAAGATAAAGAGGCCAGTGCTATTGGTAGGAGAGTCTGGCACTTCCAAGACTGCCACTATTCATAACTTCCTGAAGAATGTGAATGCAGATACAAAGGTAAGTTTGACATCTAACCATACATGTGTGCATTTCTTGTGTCGCTTGAGTTTAACTGTCTCGCTTTCCGTTTATAGAATACTCTGATCATCAACTTCTCATCCAGAACGACTTCAATGGACTTGCAGAGAAACCTGGAGGCCAATGTGGAGAAAAGGACCAAAGAGATCTACGGCCCTCCTATGGGGAAGAGACTGCTGGTCTTTATGGATGACATGAATATGCCAAAGGTACCTCGTTCAGGAAAGTGTTTTATTTTCTCCACTGTGCTGGGTAATAAGCATTTGTGTGTTTGAAATTTCTGTAATGGACTTGTCCAGGTGGATAGTTATGGCACACAGCAGCCTATTGCACTTCTGAAGCTGCTGTTGGACCGAGGAGGCATATATGACAGAGGAAAAGAGCTTAACTACAAAATCCTGAAGGACCTTGGCTTTATTGCTGCCATGGGAAAGGCAGGAGGTGGGAGGAATGAGGTGGATCCTCGCTTTGTCTCCCTCTTCAGTGTCTTCGGCATTCCCTTCCCCACAGTGGAGTCCCTCCACCTGATCTATGCTTCCATTATCAAAGGCCATACCAGGGTGAGTATCTCTTTTTCAGATCAATCAGTCTCAGCAAATATTGTCTCCTTGTTGTCTCCTTTCATTACACAGTTATCTTTGCTAAAAGATTTCTAGATAATAGTGTAATTTCTATAGAAAATTTAAAAAAATAAAAATAAAAATGCTATCCGTAAAATTCATGTTTAATTTTGTGTGTTTTGTTTCTGTTTTGGCAAATTAGTTATAGTTAAAATACAAATGTAGAAAAGTGGTGAAAGTCTGACTATAACTGTATTGTATGTTGTTCTTCTGCTGAAGTGTCAACCAGATCACATGTATCCATATTTCATTTTTATATCACAGTCATTATTAATATATCGTGCAACCCTAATCTCAATCCTCCATGTCACTCAGACCTAATAAACCTGATAACCTATTTTAGCAATTTGAGGATGTCATCCAGAAGGTTTGTGATAAAGTCACCTTCTGCACACTGGAACTCTACAACACCATCATCAAAGATCTGCCACCGACTCCCTCCAAGTTCCACTACATCTTTAATCTGAGGGACTTGTCCAGAGTCTACAATGGACTGACCCTCACCAAACCTGACAGGTCTGACTGGCTCATTCACTCTAGTGACAGAATTAGCACAGACGTATATATCTCAATGTCTTCTCTTTCCCTGATTTCTCTCAAACAGGTTTTCCACCGTAGCCCGATTTGTGCGTGTTTGGAGGAACGAGTGCCTGAGAATCTTCCATGACAGACTCATTGATCAAACTGACAAAACTTTGGTAATAATTTCTAATAAATAAAATGTGTGTAAATACAAATGTAGAACCAGAATCTACTGTATTAAATAGTTCTTTAGTGCCACAGTTCTCAGCTGTGTTTTTGCCTCCAGGTTCAAGGCCACATAAAGAACCTGATTGAGGAGCATTTCAAGTCAGAAACAGAGGCAGTCATGAGAGACCCAATTCTGTTTGGAGACTACAGAACAGCCCTCAGTGACACTGAACCAAGGGTCTATGATGACATACAAGACTACGATGTTTCAAAAGACCTGTTTCAGGTATTGTCAAGTCCTTAACTGTGTTACTGACAGTGATGGTGGCCTCAGTCTATTGTTCTTTCTGGAATACGTTAGTAAATTAATATAGCCACAGTTTTTTGGACATTTGGAACAATTATTTGCTGCCTTGTCTTATGTCTTTTGAAAGACCACTGTTCTTTGTCACTCTGCAGATGATTCTAGAGGAATACAATGAGAACAAGTCGACGATGAATCTCGTACTGTTTGATGATGCTCTGGAACATCTGACTCGAGTTCACCGCATTATTCGCATTGATCGTGGGCACGCACTGCTTGTCGGTGTCGGGGGCTCTGGCAAGCAGTCCCTCACTAAACTTGCTGCCTTCGCTGCTGGCTGTGAGGTTGTAAATACATACATGTTTATAAAGAAAAATGTCTTATCCTGTATACTACAATTACAGTTAAAGCAGCACAAATAGACTTTATTATCATGTTCACCACTAGGTGACACTGTCGACCTATGTGGAAGCAGCGGTCTTGCAACGGAAAAGACACTGAAGAAGAGAAATAGAAAAAGAAGTTGTAGTTTGCAAGGTTAACCCAAATGAAATAAACAAATTTGCATCTGTTTGTCCCAGGTGTTTGAGATAGCACTGAGCAGAGGATACAGTGAGTCAAACTTCCGCGAAGACCTGAAAACACTGTACTTGAAGCTCGGCATTGAAAAAAAGAAGACAGTATTCCTCTTTACTGATGCTCATGTTGCTGAGGAAGGCTTCTTGGAACTCATTAACAACATGCTCACCTCAGGTTGGATGTCACGCTAACCTCCTGACCCACACTTGGTTTATCGTTCTTTAAAGTTACAGCTGTCGTACTCGTATTGTGCTCTCACTTTAAAGGCATTGTTCCTGCGTTGTTCCCTGATGATGAGAAGGAATCAGTTCTCAACCAACTTCGCGATGAGGCTCTTAAAATGGGAGCAGGACCTTCTAAAGAGAGCATATGGCAGTACTTTGTCAACAAGAGTGCCAACAACCTACATATTGTTTTAGGTATGTCTCCAGTGGGAGACACCCTGAGGACACGCTGCAGGAACTTCCCAGGTGACATATATGGTCAAACTTCACTTGGCTTGATATAATTTCAGATTTTATTTTTACTAACTGTGTGTACTCTTGTTTTAGGCCTGATGAACAACACTGTGATAGATTGGTTCCTGCCGTGGCCTCCACAGGCGTTACTTGCAGTGGCTCAGTCCTTCCTTGGTTTGAAATCACATACATTTAAAGTTTTTTTTGATGAATTTGTCACAGAACACTGTCTTTCTTTACTTATTGCAGTTGTGATGAGGCCAATATCTTCTTTTGTCTTTCTACAGGTGAGAATCCAATGATTCCTGAGGCACACTCTGCAGCAGTTGTAGATCATGTATGCATGGTCCATAGCTCCGTGGGTGACTACAGCAAACTATTCCAGCAAAAACTCAGACGTTGCAACTTTGTTACTCCAAAGAACTACTTAGACTTTATTAGCACCTATTCTAACCTCTTGAAAGAAAAGAATGACTACATCCTGGGTGAGGAGATGAACATACATTCCATGCATCTGTTGGATGGCTTAGGCTGGTGCTAAAACTTGTTCTCTTCTCTAGCTCAGTGCAAACGTCTAGAGGGAGGTTTAGATAAACTGAAGGAAGCCAGTGAACAGCTGGCTGAACTGAATGTCAAACTTGCTGATCAGAAGGTGGTCCTCGCTGAAAAGTCCACAGCTTGTGAAACCCTGCTGAATGAGATTGTCACAAACACAAGCGCAGGTCAGTGAATACCTGCATGTCTTAACTTGTGCCCATAATAAAAACTGTGTCTTCTAGTCTACTGAAACTAAGCACCGCTATTACAAACCACTTGTCTATAACTTTTCCTTCTAGCTGAGGAGAAAAAGACTCTGGCAGAAGATAAAGCCAAAGAGATTGAGGAGCAGAACAAAGTCATTGCTGTTGAGAAGAGAGAAGCTGAAAGTTCTCTGGCTGAAGCTCTGCCAGCATTAGAAGCAGCACGCAGTGCCCTGCAAGATCTGGAAAAATCTGATGTCACGGAGATCCGGTAAACTTCTCTCCTCCCTCAGAACATCATTCTCATTCTGTTGTTGAAAAAATAGCTACAAAATTATTGACAAGCTTGCCTTTCTAAATGGTTAGATAATCAAGGTCATCTGTAACGCAGATACCCATACTGAACCTCTGTCAAGAAAATAGAGTATAATCCAAAACATACCACTAAGGGGGTGATATTCTAGAAACTTTAATCTAGCATGGATCAATCATGCAAGACCAAGACTTAATCCATTAAGAAAAAATGCTATATATGCGTGTACCGAAGCATGTGTTTTTGGTGACAGAAGAAGCAAAGTTAAGTCATCCATTAATCAATCCTCTCCCTCTATCTGACTTTTCCTGCTTGTCCACTGTGCAGCTCTTTTGCCAAACCACCCAAACAAGTACAGGTAGTTTGCGAGTGCATCCTGGTGCTGCGCAACTACAAAGAAATCAATTGGCAGTCAGCCAAGGGGATGATGTCAGAGGCTAACTTCCTGCGCTCACTGATGGAGATGGACTGTGATTCCATACAAAACAACCAGGTCAGGACTGTAAAAGGTGAGTTGACTTCATGCTCGATGGAAATTTACCATTAAGACCGCAAATAATAATACCCATGGACACATTACAGTGGGTTTTGTATTTGCCAAATACTCCACAGTTGTTTTCTTTGCACTTTCATCTGGCTAGGCTTTCTAAAGAACCTCCAGACAAGCTTTGAGGAGATGCAAGCCATCAGTAAGGCTGGATCAGGAATGTTCAAGTTTGTCGAGGCAATCATGGGTTACTGTGATGTTGCCAGGGAGATAAAACCCAAGAGAGAGAAGGTAATGTAAGTTTTAGAAGTGCTATTGCTCAATGCTAAATTGGAAGAAGCATAGATTAAACAGCCGTGTTGTCATATTATTTTTAGGTGGCACGCCTAGAGAAGAACTTCTTTCAGAGTAAGCAGGAGTTGGAGAGCATTCAAAGTGAGCTTAGCGGCATCCAGAAAGAGTTGCAGGCTCTTGGAGAGAAGTACCAAGCTGCTATTGAGGAGAAACAGCTGCTACAGGAGGAGGCTGAGGTCATGGAGAGGAGGCTGATAGCTGCTGACAAACTTATCTCTGGCCTGAGCTCTGAAAATGAACGGTGAGGTTGTACAAAAATGCAACACTTGCAATTATGAAAGTCACCACCCTTCTAAAAGTTGTTTCTTCTTTTTAATCTCCTTTCCTTCATCACATTTCATCTCCACCTCTCTCTTTCTCTTCTACTCTCTCTTGTAATGTATCACAACTTAGGTGGACAAACGATTTAGATGAGCTGAAGCAACGGCGCGTGCGTCTCCTGGGTGACTGCCTGCTTTGTGCTGCTTTTCTGAGCTATGAAGGGGCCTTCAGCTGGGACTTCAGGAATGAAATGGTGTACCAAACTTGGGTTCAGGATGTCCAGGAGAGAGGCATCCCCTTGAGCCAGCCTTTCAAATTGGAGAACCTTCTTACTGATGAGGTAGAAATAAGCAGGTGAGGATTGTGTGCTCACAGCATGTAGAAACTTCAAGTATGAGAAGACAATGTATTGTACATTATACATTTGCTATTTTGAATGATAGGAATTAGTTTGTTTGTTGTGTTTGGTTTGGCTGCATTCAGCTGACTACAGTGAACTATGAGGCTAACTATAAATGCTAAAAAAAAAACAAAAAACCTTGTGACAGATGGGGCTCAGAGGGTTTGCCTCCAGATGAACTGTCTGTGCAGAATGGAATCCTCACAACGAGAGGGAGCCGCTTTCCCATGTGTATTGATCCTCAACAACAAGCACTCAATTGGATTAAGAAAAAGGAAGAAAATAACAACCTCAAGGTACATAAAGTTTCATGCCTATACACGTTTCAGAATGGTTGCTTTAGGCGGCCTTCCACTGCTCCAGAATGACAAGCGACCATGACTGTGTAATCATCCTTTTTCCCCCAGGTCTCATCTTTCAACGATCCAGACTTCCTGAAATGCCTAGAGATGGCCATCAAGTATGGCTTCCCATTCCTTTTCCAAGATGTGGATGAGTACATCGACCCAGTGATTGACAATGTCCTGGAGAAGAATGTAAAAGGAGCAGAGGGCAGACAGGTCGTCACGCTGGGGGACAAGGAGGTGGACTATGATCCCAACTTTAAACTGTACCTCAACACCAAACTGGCTAACCCTAAATATACTCCATCGGTGTTTGGAAAAGCCATGGTCATTAACTATACTGGTAAGATCTTGTTGCATGGCAACCATAATTTCTGTCAGTTTCATGTGCCAATATGGTGTTTAGGTGGTGAGTGAATGGCTAAAGGAAAAACACATTGTAAAGTGCTTTGGAACCTAAGATTTAAAAAGTGTGTACTGTTTAACATTTCGTTTGAACAGCAGGAAATAAATTGTTTTCCTGTTTGCTTCTGTCCATTTATGTTATCTGTGTTTTGTGCAGTGACCCTTAAGGGTCTGGAGGACCAGCTGCTGAGTGTTCTCATGGGCTTTGAGAAGAAGGAGCTGGAAGAGCAGCGTGAACGCTTGATCCAAGAGACAAGCAGCAATAAGAAGCTGCTGAAAAACCTCGGAGACTCCTTGCTCAGAGAGCTGGCCACATCTACAGGAAACATGTTGGATAACACAGAGCTCATTAACACATTGGAGGAAACAAAGTCAAAAGCCAGTGAGGTCAGTCTGGCTTAAACAAGCGTCAATGAACTTACACTAGGAAGGTAATTTTAGCAACATCTCTAATCCTAGTTTTTTCCTTGTTTGACAATGTGATCATCAGGTATTTGAGAAACTACAGTTGGCTGAGAAGACAGCGATGGACATTGATAAACTCAGAGATGGGTACCGACCTGCAGCCAAACGTGGTGCTATCCTGTTTTTTGCGCTCACAGAAATGGCTCTGGTGAACAGCATGTATCAGTACTCACTGGCCTCATACCTGGAAGTGTTTGACTTTTCACTGCAAAAATCTCAACCGGAAATTGTCCTTCACAAAAGACTCGACAACATCATAAACACTCTGACATACAGTGTTTATAACTATGGCTGCACAGGTAAAAAAATAAATAAATCAAATAGCATATTAATGAATAGTGGAATGAATGGGAACACAATTCAGTTTATGATTATATATCTGACTGTATATCCCTAGGGCTGTTTGAGAGGCACAAGTTGCTCTTTTCCTTTAACATGACCATCAAGATTGAGCAGGCAGAAGAGAGGGTACCTCAGGACGAGCTGGAGTTCTTTATCAAGGGTAAGAGATCCAGAGAAGTGGAACTCCTCTTAAATATTTTAGTTCATTACAGTGATCAGAGACATATGCACACAATGTTCAAAGCAGATTTTCATGTTTTTCCACTTCAAGGTAATCTTTCCCTGGAAAAAAGCCAACGCAAAAAGCCTTGTGACTGGCTTCAGGATCAGGGCTGGGAGGACATAGTGAAACTCGCAGAGCTCTTTCCTGACCCATTTGGCTCTCTGCCTGATGACATTGAGAAAAATTCCACTGACTGGAAATCTGTAGGTGTCCACAGGGTCAGAAATCACTATAGAGATGTTACTGAGTCAGCTGAGAGGTTAACTGTCATTCTTTTTCTCTTCAGTGGTATGACCTGGATGGACCAGAAGAAGCTCCATTTCCCATGAAATATAAGGACAACCTGTCCGACTTCCAGAAGCTGCTGTTACTGCGCTGCTTTCGTGTTGATCGAGTCTACAGAGCCGTGACGGACTATGTCTCTGCTACCATGGGAGAGAAGTGAGACGGTTTCTATTGCAATTATGCAGTTAAAGTAACAAAAACTTGTATTGCACAAAAGTTTTAGGCACAGCAAGTAACGAGAAGATGCCTTTAAAAAAGATGCCTTGAACAGTTCTTATTTTAACAATTATCCTTATACAGAATGCAGTAAACAAAAAAAAAAAAACCTAAATCAAATTCCCCTTTAAAGCGGCACCAATTTCCACAGTTTTGTGCTCAATTTTTAAGGTACATGGCAGGAAGGTTGTTCTGACTGTTCCACAGTTCTGTTGAACATTTAGGTTGTCTCAGAATTGTTTGTCTCTTCATGTACACATCTGTCTCTTGAGGCTGACTCACCGATGAAGCACAAGCTGATTCTTTGTACTTCCTGTTGCTTAAGATAGCTCTTTATGACTCTAGCTGTATGTTTGAGGTCTTGTCATGCTGCAGAAGGAATTTGAATCAGATGCCTCCTTCGTGGTCGTCTCTTAGAGATAAAAATCTGAACAGCAAGTGTCTGAAACTTTTCCATAGACTTGAATACTTTATATACAGTGTGTGTGAGGTTAACTTGCCTAACCAGAATAATGTGAAAGAATTTACAGATATATGTAGCTATTTAAACAGAACTCAATCAGTCCCTGGTTTTCCCACACGTTTCCTTGTGTTTCTGCTCAGATATGTCCAGCCTCCTGTGATCAGCTTTGATTCAATTCATGAGCAGAGCACACCTTTCTCCCCCATTGTCTTCATCCTGAGCCCGGGCTCCGACCCAGCGAGTGATCTCATGAAACTAGCAGAAAGATCCGGCTTTGGAGGCAGCAAGTTCAAGTTCCTTGCGATGGGCCAAGGCCAAGAGAAGGTACCGAATACTTCTTACGCATGTCACAGCTATAACCTGTCAAGTGTGGTCATGTGAAATAATTATAGGTATCACTAAGTAATCACACTAAATAACAATAAAACGTGAAGAAGTTAAAGTAATTGTCCTCTGTTCCCTGTGATAAAGGTGGCGCTAGATTTGCTTGAGAAGGCGGTGTCGTGGGGTCAGTGGTTGTTGCTACAGAACTGCCACTTGCTGGTGAAGTGGCTAAAGGAGCTGGAGAAGGCCTTAGAAAGAATCACCAAGCCCAACCCCAACTTCCGCTTGTGGGTCACCACCAACCCCATCAAAGATTTCCCCATTGGCATCCTGCAAAAGTCCCTAAAGGTTGAACACATTTTCTCTTTATCTTCCATAGTGTTTCCTTTGGCGTTCTTATAGATAACGGGGCTAAGATTTTAAGTTTGCAGCAGATGCGAGGATTTTTCCAGTATGTTCTTTTCAATCTATGTGTGGGAATGTGATGTTGTTGCATTTTCAGTACAAAAAGGTGACGGAAATGTTGCATACTTCCTACACTTTTTTTTTATTTTTATTTTTTAAGTAACTAGTAAGTTGTCTCCCTAAATCTGCCTTTTTAACAAATGCATAATCATTTGTAAAAATTATTAGAACAAGAGAATCCACACTAAAAACATTGTTGTGTATGCGTTACTTTTATCTATATTTTTCTGTTTTATATAAAAATATGTTTTTTAAGTTTGAAAGCAGGAGTCCTACAATAATAACAGAGAGGATTTTTCTTTTTTTTTTTTTTTGGTGTGTTTACATGTGCTTTAATATTGTGTGCAGGTAGTGACAGAGCCTCCCAACGGTCTCAAGCTGAACATGAGAGCCACATACTCCAAAATCTCCAATGAGTCCTTGACAGCTTGTCCACACCCTGAATTCCGCAGCCTGGTCTTTGTCCTGGCCTTCTTCCACGCCGTGGTCCAAGAGAGACGCAAGTACGGAAAGATGGGCTGGAATGTCCCGTACGATTTCAGCGAGTCTGACTTCTTTGTAAGTGGTGCGGGAGTCTAACGATAGGTTGGGGGGAAAAAATCCTTCTTTTCTGATTTTTATTCTCCATTTAAATATATTATATTGAATAGCATTGGTTGTGTCTCATTTTTCAGTTGTTTAACCAATGCAGCTTTGCTCAACAGGTGTGTATGGAGATTCTGAACACCTACCTGACAAAAGCTCATGACCAAGGAGACAGCAACATACCCTGGGGAAGTCTTAAATACCTGATTGGGGAGGTTAGAATAATCTGATTGTGTTTCCTATTGTATGTTGTAACGGTTTTGTATTTCCAATATCCCATTAGCAAGTGCTGCAAGTTTAACAAGTCTGCATAACGTTTCATCAGGTGATGTATGGTGGGCGAGCTATAGACAGCTTTGACCGCAGGATCCTGACTGTCTACATGGATGAGTACCTCGGAGACTTCCTCTTCTACACCTTTCGTCAGTTCCACTTCTTCAGCAACAAAGACGTTGATTATAAGATCCCTCCAACTGGGCCAAAGACAGTATATGTTGGTCAGTTCCTGTTTTCACGATTTAAGTTTTCTAACTTAAAAAAAAGTTCATCACTCACAGCTTTATCTTGTTATTTATTACAGATGAGATTGAGAGCATGCCTCTGGCGAACACACCAGAGGTAATGGGTCTTCATTCCAATACAGAGATAAAATACTACACACAAGCAGTTAAAGAGATGTGGACTCACCTAATAGACCTCCAGCCTCAGACAGGTGTGATTTACTACTGTTCATTAACATATTATAGTTGAAACGTGTATCACTGTTTTTCAGTTTTCTCACTGAGTTCAGAGTAGAGGAGCCTCTAGAAGTAATATGTGCTATTTTTCAGAAGTAGAAGCTGTTCCATCCCTTTGAAGGACGTATGCCTCATTCTCTTTGCCGCCACAAGTGCTTTCTCCTAATTGGCCTTTATACGCTCTCTCATGTCTCAGGTGAATCTGGTGGAAGCATCAGCAGGGATGAATACATCAGCCAGGTGGCCCAGGACATTCAAAACAAGCTGCCCAAGTTATTCGACATGGACGTGATCCGTAAAAAGTTTGGCGCTGACATTTCTCCAACCTCGGTGGTTCTGCTTCAAGAACTGGAGCGCTTCAACAAGCTGGTGGTCCGCATGCAGCACTCCCTGGCTGAGCTGCAGAGGGTGAGGAGGGAAAGCCGAGGACAATAAGATATCGGAGAAAAGAGCAGAAGAGTGTTGTGTCTTTGTGCTTCACTCCAATTTGTTGATTCTCTTGTGTCCCGTAGGCCTTGGCTGGTGAGGTGGGCATGAGCAGTGAGTTGGATGAGGTGGCTCGGGCCCTTTTTAATGGTCACATTCCTGCCATTTGGAAGAAGTTGGCACCTGATACTCTCAAGTCCCTCGGCAACTGGATGAGCCATTTCAAGAGGCGTTATGAACAGTACAGCTATTGGGTAAGGACAAGCATATATAATCACACATTACGGTATGTAGTCTGTATTATTCTGACATTAATTCATAGTCAGTGAATGAGTTTTTAACAATTTAACTTCTTTTCATTTTAGTTTTATTCAATATTTTTTTGTTTGTTTGTTGTTTTGTTTACATATCTTTTTGCTTCTTGCTTGCGCATGTGTGTATCTTTTGTCGACCAGGTGGATGAGGGGGAGCCAAAAGTCATGTGGTTATCAGGACTCCATATCCCAGAGTCTTACTTGACTGCTCTGGTCCAAGCTGCATGCAGGAAAAATGGTTGGCCTCTGGATCTTTCCACGCTGTACACTGAAGTGACGCAGTACCGCAGTGAGGAGGAAGTCAGTGACAGACCCAGACAGGGTAATGAAATGATGCTCTTCACATGGAGCACCATCAGTGATTAGGTCTAAGGAGTGACTGACAGTCTTACTCCCTGCAGGTTGTTTTGTGTCTGGCCTGTATCTGGAGGGAGCAGACTGGGACATGGAGAAGGGCTGCTTAGTGAGGAGTAAACCAAAAGCTCTGGTTGTCGAACTGCCCATCCTCAAAGTCATCCCCATAGAGGCACGGTGCCTCAGCTTACAGGTGTGGACAAGAGGAAACACCGACTTCCTTACTGCACTGTGGTTCTCCATTTGGATCTTTCTCCCTAACAGGCGTGTATTTGTGTGTTTTGTACTTTAGAATACGCTGCGGACCCCCGTGTACACCACGTCCTTGCGGAGGAATGCAATGGGTGTGGGGTTGGTGTTTGAGGCCGACCTGTTCACCACCATGCACATCTCCCACTGGGTGCTCCAGGGAGTCTGTTTGTGCCTCAACACCGACTGAAGACGACCCTCAGCCTCACTGAGCTTCACACAGTTTGTTCAGAAATGTTCATTAATAACAGTGATGCCTGATGTTTGCATGTTTAGAAAAAATCTCATTAGCAGTTTGCATTAAATAAAACACTTGCTTTAATATAATTTGCGTGTCATATATATTTCTTTAATATATTCAGAGAGAGTCATGGAATTGTTTTGGCCAATGATGTTCTTTGCTTTCATCATTCTGTCAGTAGATGGCAGCACATAACAGAACTGAGCTCTGCATTCTGGTCAGCAGTTAGGCAGATTTCTTTTTGACATTATAGTCTGAGAACTAAAAGACAAACTGAAAGTCTAAGGCTGTTTGTTAATGCACAAATGTTTGTGTAGTATTGTGCACATGCTTACACGTGCAGAATATTTCTGCTGAGGTTGTAAAGGGACGACGCTCTGCTGCATACACTGGAAACAGCAACAGTGATCGAAGGCTTCTAAAGTTTTCCACTTCATCCAAGTATCTTTTTTAGCTTTTCCCCGCAGTATTGGTAGCTGTAATACTGTTTTATTATAATATCTAACCAACAGATCTAGTGCAGCACTGAGTAATCGAGGCTGCTGAGGTCAGCATGCCAAAGCAGGTGAGGCTTCCTCTAAAAATTAGACAGCCCCGGAGGATCTGGCAGCTGGTGCGGCAGTGAGGTCACAGACACACAGAAATAAAAACTGCAAAAGTTTTGAGCAGTGACACGTGCAACATACATCATGTAGCCTCAGCTGTGAGAGTGCAGCTGTAATCAGGGATTTGCTGGTTAGACTAAACTGTGGCCTACAACGGAAATCATAGTAATGCTACAAGCAGCAACATGAAAAAGTTACATTTTCTTAAGTCCCTGCCCTTATATGAGATCACCATCTCGCCTCTCGTTGCCATATTGTGTAGCCTGAAAGGGTCTCCTCTGAATGGCAGAGGGTAAAGGTTAGACAGACCCTTTCTCAGCTTTAACTGGTACAACTATCATAAAGAGTGAAGATAAGGACATGTTTATGACCAAACACAGGAGGGGAGGAATTGTGTTCCCCTGTTGAAAAGAGGGAAAGAATGGTGAGTTGTAGTGTTTAATGAACCTGCAAAGATCTTCAGTAAATGGACACCTACACAGACAATAGGTAGTGCAGCTCTTTCAGTCAGTGCAATAAAGGGGAAGGGAATTATGGACGCAGGAGAGCAACTGCTCAAGAAATGACAGATAAGGGAAAAAAAAAACCTCTCTGTGGAGCTGATCCCCGTCTCCCTCCTCAGAGGTCACAATTATTTTCAGCTGCTCGTGTCTGCAGGGATTTACATTACCCCTAAACTGCTCCGGTTCCTGCTTGGCACTACCGCCTGAGCTCAGTGGCCTCATAAAACGCCAAGAGTGCCCTGAAACAAAAAAAACAAAACAAAAAAAAAAACTCTGACACATCATTTTCCAGCTCCCCCACCTCCTCCAATTCCAAAGTTTCCATGTGTTGTGATTATGAGCAGGTGGGCTCGCTCAACCCCAATAAAGTGCCTGCACTGTTTCCCTCCTCCTCCCCGTGGTATAGAGGGTGATTAGTGCCAATCTGAATGCCCTTCTGTGAGTGTCAAAGTGTTAACACTATCTCTCAGTAGCTGAGAACTTGAACTAAACTATAGTGGACTTGCCAGTTGCGTGAGCTCAGAAGCTGGTGAGTCTGTTAGTCAACCACAAGCACAGGCGTTCGTCATCCGTCAAGGCCCAGGTGTGGTCGCAGTGCCAGGTGTTTGGTTTGGAGATAGATAGATAGATAGATAGATAGATAGATAGATAGATAGATAGATAGATAGATAGATAGATAGATAGTTTCACATTGTTTAAATGTCTTTCTTTTTTTAACAAGTGAAAACAAACTACAGAATCTTAAATGCAACACCTTGAGCTGCTGTTTGTTTGGTATTTTATAACCTAAATCATACATGAAGAAATAACCTTTAAGCTGCAGCCATACATTTATTAGATTCTGTAGAATTCTCAGGTACAAACTGAATTTGGTTGGACAGAACAGGAATCTCACTTTAGGACATTTTTTTCACTATTGTCTGACATTTTATAAATGAAACCCCTTTTACATTTTAATATCTCTTTTTTCTTTTTCTTTTTTAACTAGTGACAGGACAGCATCTTACATGCAACACCTTGAGCTGTTTTTTGTTCAGATGGTGTTTTTTTGTGGGTATTTTATAGACCAGATCATACATGAAAGAAATAATTGTTAGTTGCAGCCCTGTAAATATCAGATTCCGTTCTTAATCCTTACTTTGTTTGCTTTAAAATACAATAGTCATCTATATGTGGAGAGAAATGTTGAAGTATTTGTGATATTAACAATAAATTCCTTTACTGATTCATATAAATGTTAAATGTTACAGATGATGTAATGTTTTCAGCACAGTGATGGATTTTTATTTATAGGCTTTTAAATCTAACGTGTCACATCTAGTAGGACCACAACTTTGTTGGAATTAGTTTTATATTCCCTCGCGTTCGCTAAAAATTAATTACTCATCGCGGGCACAGCTCCAGTGACTTCAGAGGAACCTCGACGCGCAGCAGCCCCATAATTCATTTAGAGCAAATACGCTGCGTAAAGTGGCGTCGCCCTGAGCGCGCATTGTCCTCTGAGAGGGGTTGAAACGGGGCAGGAACAGAGAGGCAGCAGGCTGTGCTTTTAAAAGACCCGAGGAGACTATAAAGCTGGTTTCATGCCCGCTGCCGTAAAGACTCGGCTGGATACGAGCACAGACAGACAGACAGACAGACAGACGGAGGTAGGCAGAGCTCACAGAGAGGAGGGAGGACAACACTCACTCAACATTTCATTTTCATTTTCACAAGTCTGTCACACATAGAGACGCACGAGAGGTGGCTTTCCTCTGTAGTCCACTCAGGATTTTAAGGCTATAAACCAGTCAGACAGCAGCTCCAAGTGTTCTCTACTTTTAGTCAATAGGATGCGCGTCTTCTCCAGCCGACCCGGTGCAGTTTGACACATTCTGGATCCACGAGCCGGTCTTACTTTCTAACTCGGCGGAGGGAAAAGTTGGGCTCATTGAAACTGCTGTGGCCGTACTTTTGGATGCCACGGAAATGGGATCGCAGCAGCGAGAGAGCGTGTCCGCGCTTTGCAGGAAAAGTTTGCTGAGAACTGTGCTGATCCTGTGGCTCGGCACGCTGGTGGACGGGACCTGGAAGACGGGACTTTACAAAACATATTCAGCCGGGACGCAGCTGAACAGAGACCAGACCGGAGCCTCTCACACCTCAGTCTACCAGAAAAGGTAAGAGAGCATCCACCTACACCTGCAGTCTTCTTATGAGCACATAATTCCCTCCACAGTTTAAAGCTCAGGCCGCAGGATTGTGTCTTTTTGTGCGCTTTTGTCAATGCATGACTCTGCAGAGCTACTCCCATCTCCATCCATCTAGCAGGCCCCATTGTCTTCCTGACAGTTGGTTTCCTTTTTCCTGTGTTGGCAGCATTCTGCTCCCATCCTCATTGTTGTCCCACATTCTCTCCCCACTCTGAAAACACCTCCACTGTCCCTGAGCTGTGATGCTTCAGCAACATCTCCATCATGTGCTCCACCACATGAAACCTGCTTCTATTAGGGAGCAATGATTTGTGTGTTGAAGCCACAGAATAAAAAAGACGGATTAGATCTTCTCATACATGATGGATTGTCTGTGTAGCACCAGTGTTGATGACAAGTGTGTTTCTGAAGGAGAGTCACCAGACTAAACACACAGTCAAGAGCTTCTAACCAGCTCGGCTCTCCTCCTGGACACAGCCCATGTTTAGCTCGGAGACCAGCCATCGCTCAGTGACGAGAGGACCCATCTTACAAATATTTATGCTGTCAGGTTGTGTGGGCGGAAAGTGGCCCGGAGGCTGAAACCCTCTTTTCATCTGGGTGTGTCCAGGTGGCTCCTCCAGCTTCGCTCCGCTGCCTCACCTCAGTGCTCGGCTCCTCCTGTCACTCACAGCCAGAGGCTTGTGGACATGTTTACCAAACACGAGCAGCTGGGACTCCGCCGCATCTGGTGCTTGTTTTGTGGAAGAGGAGATGAGTTTACAGTCACTTCTGCTGCAGTTTGGAAGTGGCTGCAGGACGAGTGGGGCTAGAACGAGAGGAGAGCTGCTGCCGGTCGGTCTTCGGGGAGGTCAGCGGGTTTGAGGTGACACCAGAGGAGCTGAGAGTCTCAGTCCACCTGCTGTCTGACCCCGGTCCGTGAAAGAGGCAGTTTATGGTGTGTCAACAGGGCCGAAACATGGCAGCGGGATTTCAGAGAGCATGCTCCTAGCACCTTGACATTCAATCACAACAACTTGTCATCAGGATTCAGGCAAATATAATTTTAGCAAAACTACAAAAGAAATCCGCCACAGTAGAACCTTCACTAACAATGTCTCCCCATACCAACCCTGTCTTCACACAGTGATTACTCAAAATCAAAGGGGATTAACAACTCTTGAGTAATTTCTCAACCGGTGCGGTCACTCTGTGGAGGAGCTGATAAAGTGTTCGTTCACCCTTGTCGTCCTTAATGACTGTATAAGCTCAGTGCACTGTGGGGTTACTGAGGTAGGTGCTTCTTTATTTCTTGTCTCGCCCACTTCTTTATCCCCCCCTCGGAGGACTTGTCATGGTCTGACAGGCAGTCTGAGCCCCGTGGCCGCGCTCATTCCTCACCCATCTTAACCATATCCGTGTTTTCTTTAGGCATGGGAATGAAGACGACTGAGATTCCAGCAGCCTGAGCCCTGTGTGGCTTAAAGCGGAATGTCTGTAGATGTGAAAATCAAATAATGTACGTGGGCAGAGAAAATGTAGATGCATGTTAGGAAGCAGTTACCAGTTTTACGGCTTCAATAACAATCGCTGGTGGCTGATGTATTTATCAAGATGTTTTCAGGGAAGAAGACTGTATATGAGGCGCAAATAAAAGCATAAATCTAAATTTATCCCCATTAAAGTAAGCCTCCTTGTCCAACGCTACTCTGTTCCCAGTGCTCCTGCAAAGTTTGACGTTGGTTAAAGTGTATTTCACTATGGACCTCAAGCTGGTGCCAACATCTAATTCTGTGTCAAACTGACCCAAGCTTCATATCGAGGCTCATCAATGGTGGTGAGAGTTTGGTCTACGGTAGGGGTGTCCAATCCTGGTCCTCGAGGGCCACAATCCTGCATGTTTTAGATGTTTCCCTTCTTCCAACACACCTGATTGAAATGATCAGCTCATCATCAAGCTCTGCAGAAGCCTGATAACGATCCTGATCATTTGAATCAGGTGTGTTGGAAGAGGGAAACATCTAGAACATGCAGGATTGTGGCCCTCGAGGACCAGGATTGGACACCCCCGGTCTACGGCTACGACCAGGGGACCAAACAGCAGTCTTTCGTGGAAGAACCCACAATGTCTATGTGTGGAGGAAGCTCATCAGACCAGCAGTGTGAGCAAAACTGTTGTTGTCACAGGACTGTCAATTCATCCATCAGGGTCAGACTGGCAATGCCAAGTTCCACTGTGAGGTTGTTGACGAGTCTGAGGGAGAACGTTTAGCACCAGTAATAGTATTGTGTGCCGTCGTACCAACACGCACTCACAGTGAGTTGAAAATGCTTTTTTTTTTGCATCAACACAATCCCAACTCCTGTGATTTCCTCCTCTTCCCCAAAATGAAATCCAAGTTGAACTGTTGTGACACAGTGGAGGAGATCCATCATGATGTGCAGACGGTGCTTCACAGGGTTACAGAATAGGACTTCCATAGAGCTCTTTAATGTGGCAGAGCGCTGGGAGAGCTATTTTGAAGGGGATAGCAATTTATATATACAGTCGTGACTCGATAATCTGATCCTTAACAATCTGAAAACCTTGCTATCCGACAGGTTTTGAGGAAAACGAACGGAACCCATGAAAAATAGCCTTAACATACCGACAGCATTGGATTCTGACTCCGACACAAAAAAGGATAGCGGTGTATTATCTGACTTAACAATCCCACAGATTGTCTACGTTCAGACTGCAGGACTTTATGCTCAATTCAGATTTTTTTGTGAAATCAGATTTTTTTGCGACATAAGAGAAGGTTTTATATTTCGTGTTGGTTATTGAGTCACGACTATAAATCAGGTACGAGTGCAAAGTTTAGCAGATTAGTTGAGTAACTGATTATCAGCTAAACTATTTTGATTATAAACCATAAAATGAATTCAGTTTAATAAAGTTATAAAAAAGTGTGATGTACCCTCTAAGTCAAAGTTCCTTCTTTAGTTTTATATTAAAATCTGTTTTGTTTTTTTTTGACAATTGACTGGAAAAATTACATCTAAAGGCAACACCTTGAACTGTTTTTTTTATTCCTAATTCCCTTTTTTTATATACACCAAATTATACATCAAAAAAAAAAACCTTCGTTGCAGCCCAACATCCATCAGTTTCTGCTTGATTCACAATTACAAACTCAGTTTCAGACTCTTTGTTGGGCAAAATAAAGCTTCTAAAATATATATATTTTGACATGCATAAAATGAAACATTTTATTAAGCAATAAAGAAAATGATTGACAGATTAATTGATGATGAAAATGATTGCTGGTTGGAGCCTCTGGTCCATACTATACATTGTAAGTGAGGCGTCTCATTTGTGGAACAGCTCAGCTCCACACGATGATGCAACGCTGGATTTTTGGGGCCGATGCCAACGTTAATTTTTAGGGAGTGAACAATTCTGATATTGATATATCTCTGCTGGACAGACTGTGTGGTGACTCCACTTCTTCCCTCACATTACTCCCAAGCATCTTTTTCTACATTATGTTTTGAAAGATTAAAAACTAAAATACACCAATCCTGATATATCTGTGAGCGGCCATTATTGGCTGACTGATGTATCGATGGGACTCAAAGTGTAATCAGGCTGAACTGAATCCTTCAGTTGAGCGGAATTCTTTTTTTTCACTTCCAGCCTAAAACACTTGAAGATGCAGATACCCGTTACACACAGACTGAAAGCTCCCAGGTGTCCAGGCCTGAAAGCTCACAGACAAAGACAAATGAGAGTTTTCCTTGTTTGTTCCAGGCTGCTGTAAAGAGTCACTTAGCCTTGACCTCGAAGGCCTCTCAGTGGTGCTTTGATGATCTCCATCGCCCTCAGCACATGGAAAACACCCGGCAGCTTTGAACTCGCAATATGAGAGCTCACCAGTCCCAATATTTTCTTATTCGAGAATTCTTTAAACCCAACTCGCATCAGTACATGTTTCCTAGAAGCTGCAGATTGCGACTCAAGGAATGCATTCTCCTTCTCTCTTCGTTAATTTAACCTTGACTTGTGCTCTCTTATTGTCTCTTTGTCATGTGTTATTGTGCCACATTTATCTTACGCCTCCTCTCTTTCCCATGGGACCAACGCTGCTTCATAATTGTCTTTTCTTTCAATTCCCTTTTCCCATTGGAAGCTTCCTTATGTGACCTTTGTGGTAAAAAATACCTTGTTCCTCTCCTCTCCTCTCCTCTCCTCTCCTCTCCTCTCCT